AATGGGGCAGGTATACATACAAACATGCATGCATGCATACATATACATATATACATACATACATACAATTTTCGTACAAAGAAATAATACACAACCCGAAAAATAAGACACTTGGAAAATGGACGATCATAATGATGATGACAGAGCAGCGACGACGACGACGACGATGATATGGCACAAAATGCGCGAATGCGAATGAATAGATATACAGATACAGCTACAGATACAGCTACAGCTACAGATACAGATACATAGACTGAGATACATATGCTGTCAACACTGCTGCTTCTGCTGTTGCTGTTGTTGTTGTTGGTGTTGTTGTTGCTGATGGGGTATGTTGATTATCGCTACCGTGCGGGGGCGACGGCAGGCAGCAGACAACAAAGTGCCAGTTACACCACTTACAACAGCAGCTACAGTAACAACGACTAGCAACGGCAGCGAGTACAGCATCAGCAGTCAACGACAGCGCCGACAAGTGCCAAGAGCAGCAGCAACTGCCAGTTACAGCTACAGATACATTTACACAGCTTACACAGATACAGATACAGATACAGAAACAACTACAGTTATAGCTCTCGTGTATATTGTAGGGTTGTCTCGCTTCATCGCAAGTGCGGCAATCGCAATCAGGCTGTGGGGGCGTGTCGCTGCCTAGGACACACCCTCTTTGCCAATGGCAGCCCCAAAAACATGTGTATCTATCTATATATACTCGATTCCGTATCTGTATCTGTATCTGTATGTATATGTGCATGTATTTTATGTTACAGTTACACTTTGAGATACTCTAGCTTGTGTTGCTGTTGCTGTTGCTGTTATTGTTGCTGTTGCTGTTGCTGTTGCTGTTACTGGCCGTTGCAGCAGCAGTTTTTGAGAAGCTGCCGTTGACGTTTTGAATAAATTTTAATTGAATTCGCACAATGAAACTGTTTACTTAACCTGCCACTTTACAGGATGAGCTTCATTCACACACACACACACACGTACACACACACACATGCCACATAGCGCATGTAGATACATGTTGCAGACACAGATATATTTACCATATACAATATGTTGTTAGCAAGCGAGTGTGTGTGTGTGTGTGTGCATGTGGGTGGGTTAGTGTGTGCAGCCAATGTATCTCCTGGTTTAATTACAGCAAGCGAGGGATTTGTGTTAACACTTGTTAAATATGCAACAGCGACGCTTGCTTGCGTCAAGTTGGGACCAAGCTAATGAGGGCCAGCATATCCGCAGCCTGAACACACACTAATTGATAATATCAATTGGCTAAATACAAGTAATTCTATATATGACGTTTTCTTTTGACTGTGTGGCTACTCCGCTGGATACGAACACATTAACAGCATTGCTGGGAAGTGTCAAAAGAAATATTTTTAAATATTCAACGACAATAAATGTATATTTAAAAATATAGCAACACCGGAATTAATCTGATGATTTCTAAATGTTAGATTAGACTTTATTTATTAATATTAATAGCTATATTATTTCTATTTAATTATATATATTTATTGTAGACCTGTGTTAATTGTCCAACTTCTGAATTTTATTTCGAAGTTTAAAATATTATTATTATTTTATTTTTAAATATTAAATGTAATCTATTTATTATTATTGGGTTACCTGTACTGCGACCTACTCGATCTATTGTGTATATAATATATTTATATACAAACAATATGACACTTAATAATACAAATACGGATATATTTTAATATTAAATAAATTAAGTGTCTTAAAATTTAAGTTCACTTAAAGGCTAACTTTAAGCCGATTTGTTATATAGCAGCTGTGGTTCGAGGCGGTCATCTTCGACCTATGTTCTGAATCCGGAAAGACAACACATATACTTATATATATATATATATATATAGATTCATCAAGATATCTCTTAAGCTGAGGGATTTCTGCGCTATACGACAAAAATATTCTGAGAGACGGACAGACTTATGGGGCAATACCAACCCGGCTGATAAGTAATCTTTATCAGGCTTACACGTTCGAAGATGTGTCCTTCAATGCGTTCAGGATAAAATTATAATACCCTTTACAAGTGTATATCAAATATTAAAAGATCTTAGAAATGAATTCTTTTCTTTCTATTTTACACTGTTACACAATTAACTAATCAGCAATCTTAAAGCACTTTCAATATGTTTAGCAAGATGAGAAAATGTGGGTAAAAATAGGGATTATTGAAGTATCTGGTGAAGCTTATGGGAAATGGATACGTGTAGTAGCCAAACACCTAAGAAGGAGACAGTTCGCCAGCCTGACAGCCAAAAAAAAATACATAATAAAATAACTTAATAAATCTGCGTGAACAATTCAATGCTAATAACTCTATATAAACTTGGAAAGGAAACAATAAACATGATAATAAAATATGAATTCTGATTTGTTAATTATATCATGGTAACATAATTGAAAAAATTAGACAAACGACCAGCTTAAGCTGGATGGCCAGGTGTTGGATATATAACATACGTAACCTCAATTCAATATATATATAATAAATAATACATATTTTCTTTGTTACGTAAGCGATCTCAAATATCTTATTTATGTAATATATAATTTTATTCTATTTATATGTGCTGAATTCAGGTTACCAACACCTTGACATTTGGGTTGTGCAGGTAATTTGGCTACCACTCCTACCCATTTCTCATAGCCGTAACACCTTTACTTTGCCTGCAACAAATCCCCAACTCCACCCACTTCCCCCTGTATCCCACACTTGATTATCTGAGCTTCCGTCATGTGAATCACGTGTTAGGTAAAATGTGTGTGTGTCAGTGTGTGTGTAAGTCAGTGAGTGTGCTCAACACTCTTTCCATTAAGTTAATAACAGTTTTCCCCATTTAAAAGTACAAAGTGAAATTGCGAAAATCCGTTCCACAATTTTCCACTGGCGCTTTTCTCGCACCGTATCTTTCCGCCCCCTACTCCGCTTCCCCTCCTCCCTTTGTGCCCGTTTTGGGAGCGGTTATACTGTAACTGTAACTGCGCAAGGCGGCAGGCGCTGTAATTTGCCATCGCTTGGCTTTTGATTCCAGCAACGGGTTTGTTTGGTTTTAAATTTCAGCCGAGCTGCAAACACACACAGAGAGGGAGAGGACTCGCAGGCGCCACTCGCTTGTCGGATTGTGCTTTACATCTTGATTATCTTCCGCTTGTTTATACTACATCAACACTCGCACACTCGCACACACACACACACACACACAGGCTGGAGGGTGAGCCTCCCCCACATGCAGCGTAATATTATTTCTATTCAAATCCATTCAAGGATAAGAAGTCAATCAGTCTTCAAAGTGCAAAGGATTTTGCACTTTGTCAAAATTCAAATTCAGTACAAATTCTATATATATATACATACATATATATATATTTAGATATATGCGTGTGTATGTAAATCCAACCCAGTCAAGATCCACAATAATCAGAATGTCAGAAACCGCACAGCATCGAGCAGCTGGCTGACTGTCTGAAACCTTAATCCGCCAGCTGAAACAACCCCAAGACGTTCTGCAAAAGGCAACAAGCTTGCAAATTGAAACTGTCAACCACCCCTTCCCCCTGTCCGCCGACTCCCCCCCCTGCCAACCTATTCGCAACAGTCATCTGCGTCTCTGACAATTGCCGGGCCGGGACGAGTCAGTGAGCGCGAAGGCGTCTCTGCTGGCACGTGGCCACACGGCAAGGCGGCAAGGCGGCAAGGGTCTGGACACAAAGAAACCAACACCAGCAGCAGCAACACCATCACCTATCCAATCTTCAATTACCCTTTCGATGAGGACGAGAACAACGCACAACGGTCACATTATCGTAATCGCATCCTAATTGCGAGAAAATTACGCCCACGTGCGGCTGTAACCTGATCATCATCAAAGGCGTTTCAGTGCCCAAACTCACTGGCTGCCACTAAAAATGAATTTGTCAGAATTTGGGGCCAAATCGATACACCTTCTGCGACTGTCTGCGATGAAAATAGTGAATATATCTAGCTGCATTCCGAGTCTGCTTAAATAGTTTATACTTTGGCATGTACACTCAGATAAAAAAATAATTGACATGACATTTACAAAATCTGTTTCAAATAAAAACAAACACACTAAAGTTTTTATTTTTTTGATTAATTTATTTTTAATTAAAAAATCTAGGGAAGTTGCTTGACTCGATATACCCAAAGAGCTTGGATTCAAATCCCCATAAAATCGTAACATTTTATATGAATTTATAAATTATGTAAATTGTGTTGTTGTATATATATATGAAATCTTAAATATGTAATTAATAAAAGCTTATATAAGAGTTCTGCGATGTACAATCATAGATAAGCATCATGAAATCCAGACAAAAACAATTAAAGAGTGCTGTAGTCGCGTGAGCTCGACTACGATATACCCTGAACTATAACTCGGGGGTTTCTTATGAAATGTGATCAATGTCAATTATAATTTATTATACTTGTATTATTTATTACTAACAGCTAATGTAATGACAGCTGATCACAGGTGGCAAAGGGTGGGTGAGGGCGAGGCAGTTGGTGGGTGTGCGTCGATCATTGAATAGTCATTCAAATTTGGTAACTCAATCTATAAAATTGCTGTAGATTTACATAGGCTTTTGCAATTTTCGCAATCTTACGAGCAGGTACATAGTAATCTACCCTTAAAGTTTGGTAATTCTGGCCCTAAAAAAGTGTAAGAGATTTGGGTCTTTGCGGCGTTTGACCCGAAAATTTGTTTCCGCTTTTTTAAGCTATTTTTACTAGTAATATGTACTTCTAATTTGGTGATTCTAGTTCTTAGATTGTGTGAGATATATAAGATATACAAGTTGTCGCCAACCAATCTAAATTCGGTAACTGTAGCTTTCAACGTGCACAGTCGAATGTCCTTTTAATCGGCTGTTCGATTAGCGATTTCCAAAGATCCTAATAATAAACAGAAATGTACTCGTATACCATCGACTGAATCATGTTTCAAGATTATTGATCTAGAGTAAGATTGATCATTTATTTCATTTTCTTAAATGTTATTCGCTACATACAATATCAAAAAGGAAAAAATATACCCACAGTCATATCTACGGTTGTATCACGTTTGTAGATTTAAGCGCATTGAGTATTAATTTTGAAATGTATTCACAACAGTTATATACATACATTTATATGATTTTATGATATCGACAAATTTACTCTACTCCATGGGTTGGGGTTCCTCGGCAGCAATAAGGAAACGCCACAATAGAGCAACAACAATAGTGGCCAACAAATGGGCAACAAATATGCACCACAAGCCGCCAAATGTGACGTGGACAATGGCTGGTGCCAGGCTACGATAGAAGTTGAGGGTACCACCGGTGTAGTAGGCCTATGCAAATGCAGACTTTCATTAGTCAGATATTGAGGAGAGATATATCCATTATACTAACCGATGCACAGCACAATGCAGCAAATATGAATCCAACGCGTGCGGAAACTGAATCGTAGGCACTCTCGCTGCGCTTATCCCAGATGCCGCAGTAAGCGAAGAGGAACATCATCATCATGAATAGCTCGATGCCCATCAATTTGACTTCATCGTAATTGCCGAGCGTAGTTAAGCAAATTTTTCCCGACTTGTTCGGCATGGCAACATAGGCCATTCCAAAGCCAACAAGTGCGCCCAGTAACTGCACCAGCCAATAGCACAACATCAGTTGCCACTCCATTACGCCGACAATGGTGGCAGTTGCACTAACAGCCGGATTCAGATGAGCGCCACTCAGAAAGGCAAATGTATGAATGGCCGCCAGATAAATGAGACCCCAACCGATGGCATAATTGGGGCCAGATGATGAATATGTGCTCAGGCAGCAGCCAAGTGTTAGTATCATTGCCGTTCCTGTAAATTCGGCCAAAAGTTTTTTTAACAGGTCCTTGTCGAATTTGAAATTTCCCATTATTTAATTTATTTGTTTTTGTTTTTTTTTCGATGTAGACAAAAATTGAGAAACTAGAAATATTACGATTATGTTAGGAAAAAATTAGTTACGTTTCCAAACAGCACTAAAATTTAACTGAACTGAATTTTCAGCTAAACACGGAAAAATACAAATTTCAGAAACCGAAGGCCTACTTTATAATTTTCATATTCCGCCTGGTTCGTTCGTTCGATTATTTCTATCGATACACACACAACGACTATCGAAATCAGTCTGCAGATTAACGGTGAATAAAATAAAAATGATGATTGCAACCGTAAACAAATTTTTATTAAATATATCTGACATTTTCGAGACTACAATTTAGAATGATCTAAACTTTTCACTTTAATTTGACGACTTGATAATAAGCAGTAGACCAAGATGATGAGATTAGCCGAAAAAACTGGGGTTTCATCTACTCTTCAGCTTTAGATTCATCCTTGCCTTGCAGGTAGAGGAATCGCCAGCAAACTCCCAGCAGAGCGGCCGTAACCGGTGGTATAACCAAATAGATCCAGATATAATCCCAATACTGGGCAACAACTGCTGGCCAGAGAGATCGGAACGGATTCATGGAGGCGCCGGTGGCCTCCGTCTGGAAGAAACACATTCGTTAATAAAACAATGAAAAACGATTTAAATATTGCATAAATAAAATGCTCACTCCAACAAGAGTCGCGGCAACAACGACTAGTCCAATGCGCAACGATATCGACTCCAGCAGTTTCTCGTTGCTCGTGTGCCACGAGGCGCACATGGCGAACACCCAAGCACCGGTCATATAAAACTCCAATAGAATCGATTTCCACCAGGGATCGATGCGCACCACTGTCACACAAAATTTCGTAGACATGCCCTTCTTAAAATACAAACCATAGGCTACGCCATATCCTAGGGCCGATCCAATAAGTTGCATAAGTATATAGAGAAATCCATCTAAAATTTCCACATTCTGCAGTATCATTGAAGCAATGGATATGCAAGGATTGATGTGTGCACCAGACACAATTCGAAATGCTTGAGTTGATGCGAGTACACCGGCGCCCCAGCTAAATGCATAGTGCATTCCAGCCTGTACAGGCATCGCACAGCCGATGAATTCGACGAAAAGACTTGCCAACAGCTCGCACAAGAGCTTCACCAATAATTCTTTATTAAATTTACCCATTTTACGAACTTTTTCAAATGAAACAATGTATACAAATATGTTCAAAAGAAAACTCGGAAAAATTTGGTTTGCTCAACGGAATAAGATGTATTACAATGAATTTCTAATACGCATATGATTGTAGAATATTTGAAAAAGAATCAATGGGAATGCCTGCTATGATTACTTTTAATTTCACATATGAAAACAGATAAGCTGATTTTTATTTTACTTGCTCAGATTTCGCGGCATTTTTGAATTTCAATTTGAATTTCACAGACACACAAACTCGGTCACACAGCTGATTTATATCGATAGCTTCATTGAAATAATCTCGATATTCGATAGTTGTGTATTGCTTTTTTTAAGGGTGGCCATCTATTCACTTTGGGTGGCAACGCTATTATTTTACAACTATCCAACACCGTTGAGTAACGAATCAACCCCCAACGCAATAAACGGCAAACATTCAATTTTGAATTTGGACTTCAGTCCGCAGTCGTCGGTTTTGCCAAGTAAACGTGCTTCTTACACGCGCTCTCAGTACACACATTATTTTTTCATTATACACACACCTATACACATACACCACGAATGCGTGTGTCGGCGCGCGGCAGTAAAAAAAGAAACTAAGTAAAAAAAAAACCGAGAAATAAATCTCAAACTTGCATCAACTAAGCAAGAATAATGCTGACGTTGTTGTTGTTGCTGTTTTTTTCACTCACCGACCACAATTGAAATAGACTCGCATTTGGTTAAATAATTTAGCAAAATCCAAATATGTGCACTTAATTCGTTGCTCGTTGGCGTCTCACACAGAAAAACAGAGAAAAGAAACTTTGGTCATTCAACAACCTCTTTGGAATATGATATCGATTTTCCGTTACGTCGTTATACACACACTCTGACCGAGTTTACTTTACACGTTAAGCCGCGCGCAAGCACACGCCCCTTTCTTCATCTGAGCAACAGACCCACCCACCACCCACTACCCAACCACCCACAACAGTCAAGCTACCCAAACCAGCACAAGCCACCCAGTTGGGTGTGTTTTTGTCGCAAATGTGTGTGTGAAAAAAGTGAACAATGAACTTACTTGTTTGGCCATCTTCGTTTTGAGCACCTCAAAGAAATTGCAACGCATTAAGAAGCATGTTTTATTTGGCACTGATCAAATAGCGACGGACAAACATTTTAGGTGAGTAAATCGCACGGCGAATTTCAATCGCATTTGCATTTCTAATTGCGTGCGTCGGGGACTTGGAACACAGAAAGCCAGTCACTCAGTCAGTCAGAGTCCATTCGGCCTGACACTTGACTGTACATAAAGCCTCTGCTCAATTAGCTCAATTTATTTTTTATCCGCCAAACACACACACACACACACACACAGTAATCAAATCGCGCTTTGTGCGCTTAATTTGTAATTCGTTTTTCGTTGTAGCTAAATTTTATTCATTTTTCTCTCGCTCTCTCTCTCTCTCTCTATCTCTCTCTCTCTCTCTCTCTCTCTACTGGGAACACAGGGACAATTGTAAATAGCATCATCACAGACATCCGACACCAGACGGACAGAGTACAGGCTTTTGCTAATACGAGTGAATCCGAGCTGTGAGCTGTGAGCAACATGGACAAAGGACAAAGGAGCCAATGGCTGTATTCCACTCAATCTATGCATTCGGCAGCAGGTGTTGTTTGTGTGCTGCTCCTGTTCCCGCTACTGTTGGGTCAGACGATGGCCCAGGGAACACCGCAACAGGTGTGTCCGGAGCAGAGCGACATCTCGCCCTGCATTTGTACGGTGAAAAAGAATGGATTGGATGTTTTGTGTGAGGCAACGGATCTGATGCACATTACCAAGTCGATGGGCACACTGAAGGGCAAGAGTCCAATTATCTTCTATCTGAAGCTGCGACACAATAATCTGCCCAAGCTGCAAGGCTTTGTGTTTCTTGCCCTCGATATCCGCCATTTGACAATACACAACAGCAGCTTGGCGGCAATTGAGGAGAATGCACTGAGCTCGTTGGGTAAGTGTTCCACATGAGATGACATTTCCATATTCATAGACTATAATAATAACAATAATAATAATAATAATAATATTATTTGCTTCAATTGCAGGCAAAGGACTTACACAGCTGGATGTTTCGCTTAATCAGATGAAAACTGTGCCGTCTCAGGTAATTTATCAGTTTGTTCACTCAAATAATCGAGACCAATCTTTTTAAATATTGATACATTTGCTGTTATCGATATCGATACAGCTTAAATTAATACCATCAGCGCACTTATCGATATCAGTATTCCAAAAAGCGACCATCTTTGATGGCTGTTCAATTAACAAATATTTATTGATATCAGTTTTCTGATAAGCTGCACTTTTTAAGAGTATTTGAAATGCCAATTCAATTAATGAGTCAAATGAGTTTCTTTTAAGTCCACTTTGCAACAATATAGTTCTATAGTTCTTAACCTATTTATCGTGTTTCCATAGGCACTGCAACATTTGTATCACTTGTTAATTTTGAACTTGAATCACAATAAAATAACGGTCTTACACAACAATGCCTTTGAGGGACTGGACACACTGGAGATACTTACACTCTATGAGAACAAAATAACACAAGTCGATCCCGAAGCGTTCCGCGGCCTGGAGAAGTAAGTATTTGAATGTTGATCAACTGGCCCTTGACACCGACTAACTGAATTAAACATTTAGGAAATTGAAGCGCCTGAATCTGGGTGGCAACGATCTAACCAATGTGCCCCAAAAGGCCCTCTCGATATTGGACACGCTAAAGAAACTCGAAATACAGGAGAACAAGATTCGTACCATCAGCGAGGGCGATTTCGAGGGTAATGTTGCTGTAATCATTTCATTGTAATTGGTATTTAATTGTTGTTTGTCAACCGCATTAAACAGGTCTACAGAACTTGGATTCGTTGATATTAGCACATAATATGATCACAACCGTGCCTGCAAATGTATTCACACACTTAAGTATGCTCAACTCGTTGGAACTGGAGGGCAATAAGATCAGTATTATTGATAAGGATGCATTTAAGGGTCTGGAGGGTAAGCAGAGTGCAGAGTGCAGAAAGGAGAGTGGAGCTTATACCTTTATAAACATGACATAATATCCAATTCGCAGAGAATCTACAGTATTTGCGTCTGGGCGATAACAATATTCATGCCATACCCAGTGAGGCTTTGCGTCCGTTGCATCGACTCCGCCACTTGGATTTGCGAAACAATAATATTAATGTTCTGGCCGATGATGCTTTTACCGGATACGGCGATTCGCTGACCTTCCTCAATCTGCAGAAGAATGAGTAAAGCTCGCAGAAGTGCACAAAACAAAAACACTGGTCGCTCAAGAATTAGAACTAAAAAGAAGCTAGATTCTATAATTGGCAGCACACAAACTAAAATTCTTATTTTTGATAACTTATTTTCCATTTTCCATTTATTGATTTGAGACTTTTTAATAGTAATACAAAATATGATTTATGAAAATATATTTTATATATTTTTGGAAAAGGAAAAAATTTATAAAATTGTTTGAAAATAAGAATAGCCACTGTAGCCAAAGGGTTTTAATTTACGAGTGACCACTGTACCAGATTTACTTCACAATCATAATCTGAATTGTTTTACCTTACGAATTTAGCATCAAAGTGCTACCAAGCACCCTATTCGAGAACCTCAACTCGTTGGAGACGCTGAATCTGCAGAACAACAAGTTGCAACGGATTCCGCAGGATACCATGGAACCGGTCATCGATACGTTGCGCATAATTGACATCACTGGCAAGTCGTTGTTATATATATATACGATAGAAATTTAAAGCTAATGTGAGAATGTGCATTTTGATAGATAATCCATTGAACTGTTCGTGCGAATTGACCTGGTTCCCAAAACTGTTGGAGGATCTGAAGAACAAGGACGATGAAATGTCGCAAAAGAAGAAGCCACTGTGCCACATGTCGTTGGACAATCGCGAGTATTTTGTGCAAGCGATGCCCACCGAGAAGATGCACTGCGCCGGCCTCAATGTGAGTCCCTCACCCACGAGCGGCGGTCTCATACGGATACTGCAAGTGAACATTTTGGCCCAAATAGCCATGTGTAGCGTGGCGTTTCTGAGTAGCTTTTAACATGCCACTCCTCCTAAACAGGCAGCATACGCAATCGTATCAATTGCATTCACATCCGTTTTTTCCGATTAGTTGCATATCTCTCTATATATATATATACACACAGACAAGCAACCACATACTATATCTGTAGGTGGTCATGATGGATCGATCATCATCATCAGACATAGAGACAAGAAGTGATACTTATAACCCCCCTTAAAAAAACCAAAAACCAAAACCAAAAAAAAAAAAACACTCCACAATTTTTGTACGCCTACAAACCATTTCTGTGTTGTTGTATTGTATTTTTTATTATAGATTATAGTGAATCCGTGAATTATGCAACTCTGGCAATTGTTAGACTCTCAATATGCACGCCAACCAAGAGCAACAACAAGAACAACAAGAAACAACAGCAATATCACCCGCAAGTGCCCCATCGAAACTGAATAACCCAAAAATACGCAAAATGAAATGAATACACACCCACCTTGTTGAATTGATTATATGATGCCAAAAACAAAGCGCGCTTAAAAAAAAAAAAAAAAGAACACACACAAAAGACAAAAAAAAAAAAAAAAAAAAACGAAAACAAAACGCAAATCATAAAGCACACAAAGAAAACATAATAATTCTATATATAAATAATTATATATATCACATATCAAATGCGACACGCACAGTGTACAGTAGCCCGACAAAAGCTGCTATAAGATCGTTAATTGTTAACGCTTCAGCAAACGTAATCGTAATCGTAATCGTAATTGTTATCGAACAGCATATTAATCGTAGTTTAGATTTAAATTTAAAAACGAAAACCGAAAACACAAACATATCTGGAAACGTGAATTGTTACAATTTAAGCGATATTATTGCTAACTTTTATTATTATTATTATATTATAGTCGCCTTAAGGCATAAATGAAAAGTTTGACAGCAACTTTACATGTTATCGTAACTACACTAAAAACAAGAAGAAAATCAACAAAAAAAATGTTTTATATGTATTGTCTATCTATGTACCTATTTATTATGTGTATGTATTATGTGTAGTACTATGTCGTCGTCTTGTCGTCGCTGTTGTGAGATACAATCATTATAAAAACCTTGTTTATTGTTCTTCGATATTTTGTTATTCAAGTGTTTTTCCAGTAAGCAGCATATCAAAAAGCCTGCAACCTAGTCGAAATTGGCAATACAATTATTATTTATCAAATATCCTATTTATATATGTATCTATGTATGTGCAACCACTTTGGGTGCTATGCCTAAAAAAAATATGTATAAAAGCAACAAATTTGTACGCGTTCAAACGAGAGAAGAAAAAATCATTTGCATCAATCACCAAGAACTGATTATGAAATAAGTAGTTTGTACTCTTTATATGCAAGAAGAAGAAGAAGAAGAATAAAAAGAATGAGAAGGAGCTTGAAGCAAGAAGCGGATAGATTGCAGCATCCGCATATACACATATCAATTATTGTATACATAACCGTTATATATACTATATATATTGTACAATCGTAACATATCAAGAGTTAGCAAACTCACAAAAATAACAAAAACAGAAAATAGAGAAAAAAAACTCAACATTTTTTAGAACTACTTTTGAGCATGTGAAAAAAGTTTGATATTTACGCCACACACAAAAAACACTAAAATTACAATTTTTGAAATTGTTCTTTTTTCTAATATTTATTCTCGTGTATGTATGTTTCAATGTACCTCTATTGAATTGTATTTGAACTAAGTTATACATACATATACTAACTATTTTTCGTAATAAGTATTTGTGCATAGGCTATTTATAGTAACATTTTTACCATCTATTAAAAAAAAAAACACTTTTTAAGAGTCTTTCGCTGGAAAGCTCGACAGTTGGTTGGGTCAGTTAGCCGCTGGCGAGCGATCCTGAAAGCAATCCTCTTTATGTTAAACCAAACCAAATCAAACCAACAATCAATTCAATATTTTCAAAAGAATGCGCTGCAACCCAACTCGGGTCAGTTTTGGCGTTAGCTGTTCTTTTCAAAATATTATCAAGAGTGAATCCATGGAGCAGTTCGAGAGTTATCACGAATAAAAAAATCATATTGGTTACTAACACACATGTTGTTGTATTTATAACTGCATTTTAGTCATTTAGCCTTAAAGTACAAGGTTCTGGCCAACGGAAACCCGTTAAACGCACTCGCAATGGGCACCGTATAAGCACCCATATTCGGAAAACCCAAGATATCACCGCGATTCAAGTTGGGCAAGCTGACATTCTCAGATATCTATGAGAGAAAATATACATATGTGTTTAGTATAAAGTGGATATGGAAAATGTTAAGCTGACCTTATCCAGCGCATCGCAACTGGGACCCCATATTAAGCTCTTAAAGGTGGGCAAGGATGAATCGTCATTCTAAATAAAATATATATGTATAAGGTGAGAAATATTGTTATACATAATATAACATCCAAATGTATACAAGCTGTAGCTGAAGGACACTTACCAAATAATGCTGCGCTGTGACCTGCTGATGATCATAGAGTACGCAATTGAATAAGCCATAGACACCATCATTCAGGTAGTACATCACGGTGTCCAGTTTGCCTGCCTCATCGCGCACCTCTCGTTTGGCGTGAATCTTGCACACCAGTGTATAGGCAGCAGCCACAAAGAAGCGACCCGGTTCGGAGATTATCTTAATGCGTTCATCAGGAAAATATCTTTGCACCGCCTTGTTTATACTCTCAGCGATCTATGGTTATATTAAAAGTAGTTAAGCCATATAGCACACCAATTACTCCATACCTTTTCAAACTGCTCATCATTGCTGCCCGGAAAACCACCGCCAATATCGAGCAGATTCATATCGTAGCCCAACAGTTCTCCAAATTTGAATAAGTTCTTGGCCTTTCTGATGGCGCGCTCATATGCCTGCGATTCCATGCAACCAGAACCCACATGAAAACTAATGCCCGTAACCTGAGAATATATAGACCATATTGAAATTTAGCTTAAAGAAGTTTTTAAGTACGAAATTATTACTAAAGAAAAAATGATTACTGAAGTGCAACAATAAAAAAATAATTTTATAAATGGTGGCTGTAGAATATTCCAGATATGGTCAGGGATTAAGACTTATGATCTAAATTGATTTTTAAACATTGTATTATAATAATTAAATAAAATAAAAATTACATTACAATTAAGAGCGGTTAAACTTATTTTCAAGAAATTAGTTTGTTCTACTTGTCTACGCTTCACCCACATTTCGTATTCTTAAACCAACACTTAAAAAAGCCCTTCTAAGATTCAGAACTAAAATGAAAATCTCCCTGAAAATGGAAAGAACAATTTCTGGGTTATAGTAATATTTTCTAAATTTACGAAAAGATTGCTTTCCATGTTTTTGGAAATAATTTCGTAATAATAAAAAATATTTCTTAAAATTAGATATGTAACAGATTATTTTAAAAAATAGTTCAAAATTAAAAAAATAATATGAAATTTACTTTCACGACTGATATGCTAGTTTAGCTGTTATCTGTTTTATGGAGGCTGTGTCGTACACTCAGAAGTCTAGGTCGAAGGGTAAAATACAAAAGCTGTAATAGTCGTAGTCTTTCTCTTCTGTGATTGTCTTATCAGCTTATAAGCTGTCAGACTGCTATACTTGTGACTCACTGTTAAATTCAGAGATTTCGCCAACAGCATCAAGGCAGAAGCATCGATGTCCGCATCGCAACCAAATTTATCGCCCAGGGGGCATTGAGCTTTTTTGGCCTCAGACTTGAAGCGCACAATCAAGCTGCAAAAAAATAAACAATAAAAAACTAAAAAAATTTATTTTAGAATAGACAATACATACTTAGAGTTGGGAAAATGTTTGTGTAGCTTGTAAATCTCAAATTCGTTGTCCACAGCGCACTTTAGAACCTGATTTTTTTTGGCATACTCCAAATGGCTAATAGGACGACAGGGATTGGCAAAGATAATCCGTTCGGGCTCAACATCCAAATCGAGCACCTGTTTTAAGCAGAAATGTTGGAAAGAAACTCACTCTGATGTATACTTCAACAACACAAACCTGCTTCATTTCATTTTTAGAGGCACAATCGAAGCCAGCACCCAGTTTGGCCAGAGTTTGAAGAATGAGAGGATCATCATTGCATTTGACGGCATAGAAGGGCTTAACCCGAGGCATATTCTGCTGCCACAGTTGAAACATGCGCTCCACAGTGGACAGATCGCATATGTTGAGCGCCTCATCGGAGTCCTGCACCCGTGCCTCGTCTATGACCCGTCGTATGTCGAGAACTTTCTCATAGTAATTGATACCTTTAGTTTCCATTATACTCCTTAATGCTCTTTCTCTATCGAAACACACCAACCGACTAACCAAATCACACTGAAAGTGGAACTGATAGAGTAGCAATCTGCACGTTATATACCCTGTAGACATTTGCAAGAAGGCATCTTAAAGACAAAATATAGGGGCGAGGCAATCTGGGCCCAAATTCCTGCCTATTATTTGGATGTGAATATAAACAAAAATATGGCATCGAAAGAATTATTTTATTATATGCAATTACTTGTAGTATTTTGGAGTATATTTAATTTAGAAAAATCAGTGCCAGACAAAACTATTTAATTATTTTCAATTACTTTTAATCATTTTGGGCATATTTATATTATGAAAATGAATGCTTAAGACTTTTTCGACAGAAATACTTTATGTATTTTTTGCTAGCCGTTTAAAATAATAATTCTGGAATTTGAACTCTAACCAATAAAAAAAAGTTATTCCATCGAAATTAACTCTAACCATTATTCTTAAGTAATACTTGCTTTAGTTTTACATTTTTTTGGTACAGGCAATCATATAGTCTCAACTTAAACAATTTTAATGTTAAATGCTGATTAAAATGCTTATCAGCACAAGCCACAAAGGTTGAGAGACTGCCCCAATTCAATTTTTTCGAAATCATAACAGACTTGGGAAACATTTAGAAAGCAATGCGCACGTGGTCAGATGAGTGCACATTTCTATTAAGCTGATGATGGATACGGGGAGGCAGGGGAGGTTTTGAGCGGAAACAATGTGGCTCTAATTGTCGGCAAAAGGTCAAGCCAAAGGCCGTTTGCAATAGTATATATATAAATTCGCCTTTGACCAGCCCAAAAGTGGAACAACAGCATTTATGAGAGAAGTAAGTATTTGATTGTTGATCCACTGGCATTTGATACCACTTGACCGACTAACTGATTTAAACATTTAGGAAATTGAAGCGCTTGGTTGGCAACGATCGCAAAAAGACAATGAATTTAATCACGGGTATTCATTTAATTCCTGAATATTTAAAAACATGTTTGTTTTAGTGGTATTGAGTTATCTTACACAAAATACCTATTTACTAATTTCATGCTGCAATTCATGCTTTTAAGGAACAATTTCTATGTAATTTATTGACATATGGTTATTTATTTTGTTATTTATTTTATTTTATTATTATTTTTTTAATTTATTAAATTTTGGTTTTATTTGTGGCAGTCAAAACTCAAATACGCCTGCATATTTTACTTTATGCACAACAAGTCCGCTCATCCCCTTCAAGCTGATGGCAAAACCAACGATATCAATCGATATTTAGTTAGAGATGTTGTGTAACAGTTCTAGTACTATACTATTTATTTTGGAAATTTAATTTAATTTATTTAATTGTACTTATTTATGTAATTTTTTAAATATGTGTAAATGCATGGTTTTAATTTGTTAAGGCGAGTTTGCTTACTCCTAGTGGACACTGAGAACACCTGTAATTTATATTGTTGATTGTCTTGTCTTCTTATAAGCTGTCAGACTGTTATACTTGTGACTCACTGTTAAATTCAGAGATTTCGCCAATAGCATCAGGGCAGAAGCATCGATGTCCGCATCGCAACCAAATTTATCGCCCAGGGGGCATTGAGCTTCTTTGGTTTCCAACTTGAAGCGCACAATCAAGCTGCAAAAAAATAAACAATAAAAAACTAAAAAATGTATTTTAGAATAGACAATACATACTTCGAAAGTAATTCTAACTATTATTCTGAAGTAATACCTCGATTTTTTTGGCATAGATAATCGTGTAGCCTCAACTTAATCAACTTTATTGTTAAATTCTGGTTAAAATGCTTATCAGCAAAAGCCACAAAGGTTGAAAATCATTACCCAACCCATTTTTTCCAAATCGCAACAGACTTGGGTAACATTTAGAAAGAAATGTGCACGTGGTCAGATGAGAGCACAGTTCTATTACGCTGATGATGGGTGCGGGGAGGCAGGGGAAGTTTTGAACGGAAACAATGTGGCTCTAATTATCGGCAAAAGGTCAAGCCAAAAGCCGTTACATTTGCCTTTGGCTAGCCCAGAATTTTAATTAATTATTTTGGCACATTCGAACGTGTTCCACGTGCCACAGAATTTATTTACAACCAACAATATTTGGGATCGTAAATAATTTTAATGTGTCGAGCATGTAAAACTAATAAAATGTAAATTTTGCAAGACCGAAAGCGGAAAGTGGAACTTCAAAATGCGCATAATTGACACTTGAGGACAGAGGCAACTCAATAGCGACAAATATCCTCCCCAGGACCACAAGCCCACGATAGACAATAACCATAAAAGCGATGTTGCGAGGGTTGTTGAGGGGCTGGCTGACACTTGTGACCGGAGGGCAATCGACCGCAGGACCTATGTGAATGTGTGTCGGTGTGTGTGTGTGTGTGTGTGTGTGCGTAGCCTCCCCCTACTCAATTGATGGGCAATTATAAATTAAAATCAAACGCTCGAAATCGATATGGTATAAATTGCAATTCACATTGTCAATCGTTCGATCAATCGTTAATTGGGCGACTCATCGAGATTGCTACTACAACGCTCCACCCTTTGATCCTTGACAGTCAGGTAAAAAAAAGAGATGACATCTGTCAAAAATGAATATTGAGCGATTGTCTGCGATCACACAGAAATTTCTACAGTCACGCTTAAGATGTGGAAACAGAGTCGATTGTCAATTGCAATCAAATGTGATTTTTTGGCTGGCCAGCACAATTTGCTGCGAGTGTCATCACTCATTTATATAGCCCAAAAGTGCATGTCCTTCATATCCTTTATGTTGTCCTCTCTTTGCGCACTTCACTTTGAGTGATGTGACAAATGCGCGGACAAGCCGCAAAAGTGCTTCAAATTCAACTTCCATTCTCACATTTACCACTTTCCGCAACAAACAAAAAACACCGTTGTGAAATTGTAAAACACGTTTTCAATTTTACACTAAATTGAATTTAAATCATTTTGTAACAAGTACACGAAATTTAAATGCAAATGTCATTAATTACTTTGTGGCATTCGTAAGGCTCCACAGCAGACAGCTCAGTTCCCATGCCCAGCTGAAAGGATAAAGGATAGGAGGCAGGATACTCTGCAACTGAATTCCATTCTGCGCTTCATCAAGTTCGTTTTTAGGGCATGAATTTGGGGCACTGTCAACATTTGTTTTGCATGTACCACATCATTATCATTTTGGGTCAGGAGAGAAGTTCGCAGTGCGGTAGACATGTATATTTTAATGTGAGATTTGCTTGTTGAAAAGCTGATTAAAAATAATTATTCTTAGCATATATAGTATATTGAACTTTTATTATTAATTGTAGGAAAAAAAAACTGGTCGATTAAAAAGCAGGTGAGAGTGAGAAATTTGTATGTAGGAAAGCAAGACAAAGAGCAGGTAAGTTAAGAAAGATCTCAATTTTCTTACTTCGCAAGACTGCAGAGATTTCAGTCCATAACTAAAATGCCTATTTCAAAGATACTTTTTAAAACACAGAATTTTTTTATATATTTATTTATTATGATATATTGAATTCCTTTTAATTTCGAGCATCATATATTAAAAGAGTTAAATAAGCTATTTAGAATTTCTCATACACCCAGAAAAAACATTGCAAATTAAAAAAAAATATGCGAAAGAAATTTTCTAAAAATTAAAAAGGTTTTCTAAAAAAAAGTTTCCTATTTATAAATTATAAATATGAATTTCTAAAAATATAAATAATAACGCAAATTTATTAGAAAAATACTTTTTTCGATTCAGAAAGAAGTAATGAGATTGTCTCTCTCTTAAAATTCTATTTAGTTATATAAATTTGGAAACTATCTAAAGGGTTTGTTAACCCGAATTCATAAAATTCGAATGTAATAAAATATATAAGTGATTATTTTTTCTTCTACCTGTAGTGAAAAACATTGCTTGAAAATTGTAAAATGTAGTAGCTGGATTAATTACAAATAATTTCCTTGACCTCATGACGCGCCCAACTGTGTTGCCCGCATATCCTGCGAAGGCGTGCTCCGCCAAAACAATCAGGACATTGTGATTTACAGCACCAAATTGGCGCCTGGCCGCAATAAAAATACGCTCTCAAGGCTGCCCACTCGAGAGAGGGGCGAGCGTAGGGGTATGTGGTTAAGGGGTGTCGCATTACCGCATTAGTAGGTTTGTGTGAGGGGCACAAGCAACAGCAGCCGCATTGAGTAGGCGCTCGTTTTGCCGCATTTTACACTCGAGGAAACCCACTCGAGAGTTGCCCCATTACAAATATTTCAAATCTGAGAGAGATTACACATATTCACACACACACACACATGCATAAATACATATACGCTCACTGCGCCGGTGCCGACGAAGCCTTGCGCCTCTCAGCTGTGAGTGAGTACACTGAGAAGAAAATCAATCTGAATTTTGGAATATCGTCACACTTTTAATTTGAAAGCATATTTCTGAAACGTTCTGAAACGGAATTTTGTATCTTTCGAAAAACCGAATTTTTATTTTTTAATTCCTGTGTACACATTCAAAAATATATTTTAAAAAATAGGTCCAATTTCCAGGGTGTTTTATTCTATATGTGAAATAGAAATCTCTCATTAGCTTTTTTGTTACTTATATTTTATCCTTAAGCATTCGTATTTTCAGATTTCACGTAAACAATAATTAAGTATTGTATTTTAGATTGACATAATTAAATGTAAAAAAAAACTTTACTTAAAACGATTGAATTTATCATTATTATTTTCTGCATTTCAGAAAGAAATTCTTATCAAAATTGAAGTTAAAATTTTTTTTTTTTTTAAATATTTATTATTATTATTATGAAAAAATGTATTTTTTATAAATAAAGATGAGTTTTTAATTGTATGAAATATTTGAATTTCACATTTAAACATTTCTTCTTTAGGGGATTTTTTTCGCAGTGTATGAGTGTGTTCGTTTGGCACTTGCAATTCCTGGTCGTCCCTTATGAGTCATGCGGCACACGACCAGTTCGCATTTTACGTCCTTGCGTCCTGGCGTCGACCTGCTTCGTCGACTCGCATAACTGTAAACGTGCCGGGGGTTAGAATCCTTTACTAAATTTCTAAATATCTCTCCAATTTCAGTGTTGTTTTGCCAGGCCGACGAGCTGCAGCACACACCAACAGCAGCCATCAGCACCAGTCAAAAGCAATCAAAATGTCGCTGCCTGTTTCACATTTAACATTTGCATCAACAATAACAATAACAACAGCACCAAAAAAAGCAACAACAACAACAACAATAGTCACACTTTAGGCACCGCCATGTCACATTTGCTGAGGCGCACCAAGAAATCCTGTCTCAAGGTGAGTGGTTATTGGTTATATGGTTGAGTGGTTCCTTGCTGCCCCTGCTGCAGAATCAATAAAAAATCGATAGCGCTGCGTGTGTGCCAACCAAAAAAAAACACGGAAGAATACCTAGCTGCGGCATGCCGCAACTTCATTTTCCTTTCAAAAAGTACTCAACGTGCTCACATTTCAACTGCTTTTAATTGCTATTTAATTAGAAACCATCATATTGCTCAGAATATGTTAAAGAAGTTTTACTTGTGAGTAGTATTAAGAAGAAAAAAATTGTTTCATGGCCTACATCGTAACTTTACATAGCCGCGTAGCTTCGGACCCATAAAAACACTTTTAGGCTCAAATTTGTATGTGATTTGGATGGAGTATTCATCTAGACGCCGAACCACAGATATTCCTTTACAAAACTGGTACAATTTTGGTATATTTATGGCTGTGAAAAGTTTAAACACTGCCTAAATGGGAGCTATAGATATAGCCTATAGGAGGTATGGATATAGATATATACATATATATCGTGAACTGATTCAAAGTTCAACAAAATTAAATTAATAGATAGATGATATTAGTTTGCACATAATGACAACATATAGATACTTAATAGTCTTGAAAATTTGAAGTGGGTATTTATATAATGCACATTAGCACTAATATAAACGTACTATTTTTAATGCAGCTGCTGCGCAAAATATCAACATCAAAGCAACTGTTTGTGCAGCGCCTGGACGAGGACGATGAAGATGAGCAGGAGATGGAGCAGGAGGAGGAGGAGGAGCACATCAATACAGCGACAACTAACGACAAGCAATATGCGTGCGACAGCAGCACTAATACCAAGAATACCAACAACAACAAAAACATCAAACCCAACCCATCCGTCCAATATTGTCAGGAAGTGCTATCCCAGTTAAAGGAGGAGGAGGAGGAGGATCAGCGGCTAGATATCCAATTTGATCTGATGCATTACAAGGAGAATGTGCGATATTTGAGGCACACACCCTCCAATTCCAACTCGAATTCAAGTGTTGACCTGAGGCAGGTGGCGTCTCCGCAGTGCTCGTTCAGCGTCAGCGTTGGCTCCCAGTTAAAAGGCCAGTATCACAATGTGATCATTGTGGAGCAGCCGCCGAACGATGCCTATCCGATTGTCAAGTGGGACATCAATGGCAATTCCCTAGACGAGGAGCAGTTTGATTTGCGACAGCATTGGGCAGCTTTCGATAGCCGCTGGCGGCAGCTGCAGGCCGTCCAATCTGGGCAATCCGGCAAACGTATGGGAAGCGGACATTCGCAGAGATCCAGTCATCATTCCAGCTCGTGCACCCTGGAGACCTGGATTGATGATGCCGAGTTGGGTCTGGGCGATGATTTGCAAAATTTGCTGCAAACCAACCACAACAAAAATAACTGTAATAATTGCCTTAAAAGTTTCTAGTTGATAAAAAACTAAAAAAAAAAAGTGAGATATGCTTTAGCAATTTAGTCCTGTGAAGCGGATTTGCTCTGGGAAGCGGATTTTCCCGGTGAATTGGTTTTGTCGATAAACTTGTTCAGTAGTAAAAGAGTTTCAAAGTTTTTGAAAATTATACGGTCTATTTTGAATCGGTCTAACGAGTCTTTGTTTTATATACGGTTTAGATTCGTTCTTTGGAAAAGGGTAATCTATAAGATGTTTTGCCAATTTTTACCATAGAATTTAGAAAATTATCTTAAATTAAAATCAGCTGTGACACCCGAATGTAGATTTTGAGTTTTAGAAAACATTTTTACGTTTGTAAATTAAATTTCTTACAAATAGAAACAATTGCCCGAAATCAACAATGCGGAAAATAAATTATGGAATTCAAATATTCGCAAATACTTTTCAAGAAAATTGCATTCCAACATTTCTAAAAAAAAATGTTTTGCGTTTTCAAAATATATTTCTCCTAACTAAAAGCGATTGCCATCATTTTAAAATGTCCACTAGTTGTTAAAAGTTTATATTTTCTAGGGACTTGTATTCAAACATTTAGAAAAATGTAGAAGAGAAATGCAAAAACTCGTTTTTGTATAAAAAGTTTCGACATTAATATAAGCTTCAAAATTATAATTTTAAAAATTTTTAAATCTTAAAAAATATGTTAAGAATTTTTAGTCAGAGAAATCAGCCGGACTATCCCAAAACATGGCGATTTTCTAAATTTCAAGTCAAATGTTTTTGAATATATATATTTTTTTAGAATTGTATGATATACATATGAATCGACGTCACATTTATGCGAGTCTTTGTTTCCTTCACGGATTATAATCGGCAGCAATTTTCCATTATTTTTATTATTTGAAAATTGGTTACAATTTCAAAAACCCATTAAAAAGTAGACGGAAAGCAACATAACAACAACGACGGCGCTCCTTTCTGTCGGACCGACGTGCATTTAATGCACTTCAAACGATTTGGTCTGCGCTTTTTTTTTTCTTGGCTTAATGCTCAGTCCGGGCTTGCGACACATAGGTGAAGGAGAGAAGAGGAGAGGGGAGGCGGGCGGTTGGGCGCACGACCCGCACGTGCTGAACATGCGTGAGAATCGTCGAACCTTTGGCTTTCCCACGAGCCATTTTTCACTGTCGCGCGCTCGGTGTTGAGAGCCACAGTCAGTGCCAAGTGGTGATGGTGGTGGTGTTGGTGGTGCATTTGCTCGCCAACCTTAAGGGTGAGTTATTGCCAGCAACTATTGTTGCTGTTGCTAGCGTTGTCCCACGCGCCGCGACAATAACAACAACAACAAAAACAACAACATACACAACAATTGCTCGCCCACTCAAATTTTGTTGGGATTATACTCATATATGTACTTGCTGTTACTTATGATTCGCTTTTGGGAACCTGAGCGACAGCATGCCGAAAGCGAATGAAAACCACTTTTCTTAATTTTGATTGCAGTACACATGAAATCGATACTACAATGAGGTGGTGTATTCTACACAATGTACATATCAAGCATACGCCGCGTTGTATCTCTTTTAGAAATTGCCTAGTAAATTGCTTGGTTTTATATTGTAATATTTAAGTGAGTTGGCCGCGCTTGAGAGCTTGGCTACTTAACTGTGCGTTGTCATAAAGTATAAGTAAATTGTTGTACAACATTCTGAAATAGTCTCAACGACCAACATAAATGCAGCATTATTATTTTATTTTATTACACAATTAATTCACCCACAGAAATAAAATCGCTCCGAACTTTCGAAAGTTGCCATACTTTTGACTCTAAGAATAACTTATCTTATTATTCAGAAAGTATATTTAGAAACGGAAGGTATTATAATTCTAGACACCAGTATTTTTCTTATCTTAATTACAGATTATATTTTTGTAAAATTCAAAATTCGCTTTATAAATAACATAAAAGTCGGGAGAGCAAATTTCATTACTATTTTTCGAATTTCAAAACAGATTTCTTGTGAAAGATTACATTTCTACTCTTTGCTTATGAAAAATGGTTAAGAAGTCTATCGAAATTTGTATCGTATATTAAGAAATTATTTCTAAAATACAGAATAGTACATCTGGCAAGTGAATTGATTATTAAACTATTTAAAAACTGTTTAAGTATGTGCTTAATAATTAATTAAATTGCTCTATGGCATTCTAAAATATTTGCCTTAAGACATTCTCAACAACCAAAATAAATACAGTAACAAATATTAATTCTATTGAGTGATGTATCCTATTTTATATCTGAAATTTATATTTAATTTCGTCTTGCATACTTCTATCCTTACAAGCTTGGTAACATTCATTTTGGACGCTATTGTGTTAAAAAAAAATACTCAATTTATGATATTTGAAGTTCGCTTAAGAAAATATAAAACATTATTCAAGTTTTACTCCTTAGAATTATAATTTTTTAAAATTATTTATAATTGCGTATATCAGCTTTCTACGTTCATAATTAATATTTAAACAGACTAAGCAGTTTCTAGTTGTCAAACTGATAAAAACGTTTCTGTTTGCTTTTTTGGATACATTTTATACTGAAATCAACTCCTAGCAAATAAATCGTAAATAATGACTTGTAATTTAATCTTTGCAGCAGATGTAATTAAATTTGCTTGCTACTGATTTATTAGTTTGTAATTTATATCCCTTATTTATTTATACCCTTTTGAGCTATTAATTTATGGCCATACACATTATTTTAGGCTTGAAAAAGAGAGAGAAATCAATTGATAACCAATGAGTGGGTCATAGGTCAACGCCACTGCTCCGGCACCTGCTCCATAATCATAACCTTGAAAACCAAAGTCGACCACTGACCTACAAAATGCGGGTCACACGATGCCCGGAAAGGGGGCGTGGGCGGCGGCGGTACGCGGCCCGTGAAGAGTAAGGTCACATCGGTTGCACTTGTTGGAGCCGCATGCCGCACACGAGCCCGGCGGCTGTTCGGGCTGGCGGCTCGGTCGCGTGCTCCAGTTTCCCAGTTGCCTAGCCCAAGAACAGCTAAAGCGGCAACAAGTCAACGACGCACAGCACACAAAAAAGAGACAATGCGACACAAGCTGTGCTCTGCCGCCCAGGGCGTCAATGCTGCAACAGCTCCTGCTGCTTTCGATTCAGATAAGGCATCGATGCCAGAAGAAGATGCGTCAACAACTAATAATAATTATTGAGGCTTTTTATTTGCATTTGCACTTGCACCAACTGCTGCAAGTGCGCGAGAGAGAGAGAGAGAGAGAGAGGAACTAACTAAACGACAGTTCTCCCTGTCTTTCTCTCTCTCTCTTTCGGTCTTGTTCATTTGTGGGTCTGCTCTGCCTGGACAATGATCACTAGGCAAAGCTGAGCTGACTCGCAATCACCCCCCAGTAAGAGCAGGCGGCACGCGTATGACCAAAAAGGGGGTGGTTGCTGCTGCATCTTATTGGGCCGCTGCTGTTGCCGCTCTGCCGCTGCTGCTGTTGCCGGCGGCATTAAGGGGTTGGAGTTCGCCGGGCAAACGGCGGCCGGTACGTCCGCTCGACGTGTGCTGCAGAATCAGTCGAACGCCGTTCGCGCACACGATAAGTCACGTGCTCAAAACTAGCTCCGCTCAGCAAGTTCAATATACGCACACACCAAAAGTATTCCAAGTTCAATGTGCTCTTAGCTGCAAGCTACAAAAGTGATAATATCAAAAGATAAAAATCAAAAGCAGATATAAATATATATTCGAACTGCCCAATTCAAATAACTAACCATGGAGCACAATATGCACGTTAATGCGCCACCTTTGCATCATTGGGGCTATGGTGCCGCTGCCGCCGTTATGCCTGCCACTCCGCAGAGTCATTGGGTGCCGCCGCCCCAGAGTCACAGTCATCACAGCCATCAGAGCCATCATTCGCACAATAGTCTGAAACGTACGCTCTCCGAGAGCGATTGCGATGAGCTCTACTCCGAGGAATCGTCCAAAGAACAGTGCGTATGCGTAATGTGCTTAAAACTTAGTTTAAGTATTGTGCTATCTTAAAAGTCAAATTGTGTATAAAATCTTAATTTATCACAATTCTTTGTCGAGTTCTGTGAGCAGGCTAATGGGGCTTTAGAGAAGGTCAATATAGTTGAAAAGGAAAAAACCAAGTCTTTAAATAATTATGTTCTGCATTTATTCGTCAATCTAAAATAAATATCGAAATAATATAATTGCATCATGTAAATGCTATATTGCTATACTTTTGATATCCCTAACTAGGTAGAATGACTTTTCCGAAAACTAAGCATTAGAATAACCCACAAGAACAAATCCAAAAGACTTTAAGTTGAGATTGCCAAACAGTTCTTGAAGACACAATCTAAATCGCTCGTAAGGATACTTGATTGCTCAAGGGTCTAAAGTGGGTTTAAAGTCAGGGCATAGAGATGCTGTTTTTTTACAAAAGATCTTTCATATAAGCTCCCTCTTATTTAAAATCTCTCAAAATTTCATTATTTTTACAGAATCTCGCCCAGCGGCACGGGCAGTTGTCAGCTGATGAGCCGCAAGAAGCGTCGCGGGGTCATCGAGAAGAAGCGTCGCGATCGAATCAATTCCTCGTTGACGGAACTAAAGCGTCTGGTGCCCTCGGCCTATGAAAAGCAGGGATCGGCCAAGTTGGAGAAGGCTGAGATTCTTCAACTGACCGTAGAGCATTTGAAGAGTCTGCAAACAAAAAGTAAGTAATGCTTATTCAATAAGTCCTTTCAAATCTTAAGTTAAGCTTTAAGGACTGCTTTACATTTTTGATTTAATGAGTAATATCAAAAGGGAACAAAAAGAAAGTTGGAAGCACGATAAAGTTCAAGCTTTAGATATTGAATTAATGGTAACATCCATCTTTCTCTAGCCTACTTCTAAAATTAAACTTGAAAAGAGGCTTTCCGATTTTGCTGTTTTATTTTACACTTGAAGACTTGATTAGAACTATAATTTTGTCTCCGATCCCGTTAAGTAGTAGACAAATGATGAAATTATAGATTTTCTGGCTTTGTTTCAGTTCTTAAGTTGTTATTTTCATTGAATCAACTAAAATCGTGAAATATTTTCAAAGGCTTCTTAAAAGTACAAAATACAAATAAAAATATATACAACAACCAGCGAAATTTGACGATCTCCTATTGTTATTTAGCCAGTTATTAATTGCATGGGAAAGTTGATCCCTTACAAGCAACACACAATATGTGTCATATTATGATAAAGCTGGATAAACAATGTTAACCTGTTGGCCCAATGGGCCTGGGAAAGAATACAAATTGGCATTGTAATAGGGAAAGTACACCGCCCAAGAGAATACCGAATCTCGGCACTTCCCACGCTGCTGCTCACTGTCTGATAGTAAAATTACCACCACCATCGCCACCACGGTGCACCACCCGCTTTTTACACCCCACTCAAGAGCAAACCGAAACGGGACAGGGGGTAGTTTTTTCTTCGCGTGGGAAACTATTATTTACGGTATTAACTGTTGCAACAGCTTATTGACTTTTTGCCTATTGTTTATTGTTTGTTTGCAGCCATGGACTCGCTCAGCTACGATCCTCAACGTGTGGCAATGGACTATCACATCATTGGATTCCGTGAGTGCGCCGCTGAGGTAGCTCGCTATCTGGTCACGATCGAGGGCATGGATATACAAGATCCGTTGCGATTGCGTCTCATGTCCCATCTGCAGTATTTTGCACAGCAGCGAGAGATCTCCGCCAGCGGCGGCTATCAGCCCAGTTGTGCGGCAACGCCCTATCAGAGCTATGCCACGCCCAGCAGCGCCAGCTCCTATGTGTCCAGCTCGGGTGCATATATGACGCCGACGCCGCATCATGTGACCCGCTCCAGCGTCTCCACAGCAAGTGGAGCTGCCGGCAGTGATGCCAACATTGGACCACTCGAGCCACGTGCGGAGGCAACCACTCAGCAGCAGCAGCAGCAGCAACAACAACAACAGCAACAGCAGCAGCAGCAGCAACATCAGCAACCCCAGCAACAACAACAGCAACCACAACAACAACAACAGCAACAGGCAAATCAACACTATACCCAGGAGCACCCTGGACACGCGGAGCAGCCGCAATCGCAACAGGTGCCCACCTATATTGATCTGACGAATAGTCATCGCGTCAATGAGGCTATTCCCTCCATTCCCGTCGAGAGTTTGAGCTACAGTGCGGCTCCTCAGTATCCAGTGAGTGTTGGTCAGGACTACAACAATGCCAGCGCCCTGCAATATGCCACACCGAACGGCGCCAAGCCCTATCGACCCTGGGGTGCCGAAATGGCATACTAATGTCGTGGAGTAGGGGTATTCCCCGCCAATCTACAAATGCAACCCATTCTAGTCAGTTCAAACCCGAAACATGTGTGATAGTCTTAAGTAGTGCATCTCGATGAGATCCCAAAATAAAAACCTTCAATTTGTATATAGCTTAAATGCTTTGGATTAGTCTAACTTTTTCTACATTTTTCTATAAAGCATAGTCTGTAATTTATAAGCATACAGTTACTGTAAATAAAGATATAGTTTTGATAATGAAAAAATGAGCAGATCTTTAATGGAAACCACAGAAAAATAAGTTACTAAATTCTTAACAGACCCAAAGTTTCCTTACTGGATTTGGATTTGTTAAGAACTTAGGCCTTGGAAAGAATCTCATATTTCTTAAAAGCGAATTGGCCTTCTGAGTGATTTTGATGATACTAAAATTGAACAATCTAAATACCCTTCTTTCTTTTATATCCATCTTGTATGCCATATTCAGAATTGATGGTAGTAATTGAAACTTTGATACTGTTTTTAGTATTATATATTTATTATATTTATAAAGAAACTGTCTCGTTATCATAGCTAAAATGCCTTTGACTTTGTCCCAAAACGCCTCTATATGCGATTCTCATATTCAAATACACGCTCGAAAAATGGTTCTTGTATGAAACACTTTTTAACTCACAAAGTTTTTATAACAAATGTCTTCCGTTACTGCTGTCTCAAAACTTTGACAAGTAATTAAAGTTGGTCTATAATATGGTAGATCTCTCTTAAAAGCTTTCGGTTATTTAAAGCTTTAATACAATTTAGACAATGCCACTTTGACTCCGATATACAAGTGTATGACATCTTCAGCATTTCTAATACAGCCATTCTTCTTTTCTCTCTTACATACCAATATTCAATATACGACAATATTTTACGCACTCTTGTAGGTTAAAAAAATGGGTGAGCTGAAGCTTAATGCATAATTTGTACGCACTCCTCAATATATTGTAAATATCCACATGGAAATTGTTTTGTCGAATTACCACAAACCCGTTGAACTGGAACACATAATCGCGACTAATAAGCTGTGGCCACCGTTCGCGACCGCCGCTTCCTCCTCGACTGACCACTGGTCAACCCGCTCATTTGAACCCTTCCGTTTTTGTTGTTGGGGGGTCAACTGTGTATTTGTCATATTGGTATCTGTTTTTGTCTGCAATGCTTTACGAGTGTGAAATTTGCATAACGACAAAGCGCTAACTAAAAACCAAAAACCCAACGAATTAGTTAAGCCGTTGCTTATTGCTGCATTTTCTGGACATAATTAGGAACAGGCTACAAGGTGCAAAGGGTAGCAATAACCCCTAAACAGGCAATACAAAACAGCAAATGAGATGTTTCCAACTGGCTTGCTTACAAAGGTGAGGCAAAAAAATAAACCAAGGAACAGGAAACAAATGCAGAAGAAGTTTCAAAAAAATGTATGTAATGTTGTAAGTGAGAGTAATTTATGGGAATGCCTGAGAAATTTATAAAATATTTTAGCTTATCAAATATTATGTGATGATATAAATGAGAATCTAAGCTTTAGATTTCAACTTGTACCTGGTTAAGCCTAATAATATCTTAAAATCCAGTTTAAATTCGATTAAAATAAACGAGAACGGTTATCTTAGGCAAGCGGAAGATTAAATACCCTTGTATAAGATACCGACCTATCTCCGACTATATACTAATTTCAGCAAAAAGACGGATGTATTCCGACTTTCATCAAGATTTGTCTTAAAACTTTGGAACAAACGGATATGACTATGATGACTATATCGATGAGGCCAAGAGTTTATATATTTTACAAATATGCTTGTTTTCTAAGTAAAGCGAAAATAATATTAAGTAATTTCATTAAACCAGCCAAAAAGATTTCAAGTGGAATCATTCAGCTTCTAACCAAATAAGTGAACGTTGACAAAAGGTCGAACAACCAAAATTGTTCTCAAATGGATGTAATAAGCGTTTCCTTACCAACAACAACAGCAACAACATATACAACAACAACAACAGCAACATATACAACAAGAACAACAACAACAACATACAAGTACTATAACAACCCCTAAGCGAAAGCCCTGTGTGGCATCGTTCCTTTTTGTTGGCATTGAATTGAAACAATCTTCTGCGCATTAATTTAACTTTGCCGGTTAAACATAAATGTTTTCAATATTTATCGCGTTACCAGGGCTGGGCTGCTCGGTGTAATGCCCATGTGAGAGAGCCCTGTGCTTTGACTTCCCACGCAGCCAAATACCACCCCATTTATATGCACACACACAAATATACATATGTATATATATATATATATATATGCAAGTCCTGTACGACTGATTTCCCATTGTGTGGAAATCAACCAGCACTCCTCGGTTCAGGGGTGGCACAGAGAGATCATCGTCAACACCATCACGTAATATACACGTCAAAACTTCCAATTAGAGACAATCATTCTGCTACGGGATAGGACGATATCAGGAGCATATGTATATCTAATATTCAGGGTGGTTTCTCTCCGTTGGATTTGCGTACAAAAACACAAGCACAACCCGAATTTGATTTCATTTCTTGGATTACGTTCGAGCTAACAACAACAATAAACAATGAAAGGACTCGCAGTAGCGGGGTGGATTTCTAATATACCCATATATGGTTTATAACCTGCTTGTTGTTCGATATGTTTGAATGGTTTATTTTTATTGCGGTTCGAGTCAATTAAGTGGAATATTATGTGATTTCTTTGAATGGATTTTCATGTTAAACCTGGCAGAAATTTCCATATAAGCATAAACCCATCGAGTTAATCGAGTTCGACACTTGTTTTGCCACAATTTAATAGCCCAGCTGCTAAATATTTACATATGTGATAGAAAATACCAAATTTATGAACCGCATTTGTGTCCTTGATTCGTGTTGTTTTAAATGGTGCATGACCCAAACACATCATTGAGTTTTTTTTGTGTATAATCGTTATAAATCGTATTGCATATCCACTATCAGTTAATAAGGGTTCAAAACAGTTTTGAATATACAATTATCGATCAAATAATAGATAATGCTCGCTCGGATATTGTTTCTCTTAGAATTAACACTTCTACATACTCTAGAATCTATAATTCAATATTCCTTTTTTTCGAGAATATTTAATTTATTCTTGAATTTATAATTTCCTCTTCAAAATAAATTTAAAATTGCTTATAGCACCATCAATAATTATTCATCTTTATTCGTCTTACAGTTTTTTAGGATCCAAAATTTAAAATTCCTATTGAGTTCCTTTAGCATATTTTCCAAACAGAAATTATTAAACGAAACTCTTATTTTTGAGAATATTTACTTTAATTGAATTTCCAACTTTCGAAAGTGCTGTATATATATTTCAATAAATACTGGTTTTAAAAACATTCGCTCCCAATAAAATAGGTCAATAAAAATCAGTTACACTCGAAAATGTAACACCAACAAAAAGCGTCGAGCAACAAGTGTTTTTTTCGGCTTTCTTTCATCAGCTGGTGTTGCCTCAACTATACAAACATGTGCATGCGCTACACACACACACACACATACACTCGCACACACACACGTGCATTTGTAGTGTCGATTATTTTTGTTATCGCTGCAGACAAACACAAAAAAGTGTTTTGATTTTCACTCAAGTTGTGTTCAAAATCAAATGTTTTCCCTTTGTCTTTTCGTGATTTTGAACTAATTGTTAACAAAGCGTCACGCGCAGTTTTCAACGTTTCCCGCGATTTCTGGGTGTGATGTAATGTGCACGGGACCAGAGAGTTTCCCGTAAGATGTGAAATAACGTTACCCGGTCGAAATGTGGACCAGGCAACTGAGGCTGACGTTGGCGCTGGGCCAAGGAGCCAGCGCGTTGTGGACACAATGCCGAAGATGCACAGGACGTAAGTGCAGCGAATTGAGGAATAAATCTGACACACAAAGCGGAAATTCGCATTACACATTTTTTTATATATATGTTTAGATTTATATTTTCAACTTAACATAATCCACAAAAAACACACACACACACAGAGTCGTAGATTAGTGCCATGGGACTTGGTTGCCAATGGTGCCCTTCTTGTAGAATTTGGCTGTTGCCGCTGCTGTCGTTGCCAGTGCCGGTGCAGTTGGATTTGGCTCATATGTTGGCCCACTGCCCTCGGCCTTCAACACAGCCGCACATTTCCATTGTCGCGTGTAATTCATGCGCCAAATGCGCACGCAGCCATCGTCCCCAGTGGAGATGAGCATTGTGGCCAGCATGTTCCAGCAGACACGCCAAACCGGGCAATTGTGTTCGCTAAACTTTAACGTTTGCAGATCCAATTTGGCATTGCCCGTCGAATCACTAGTAAAAAGATAAATTATTTTTAATTATAAATATGCAGTTAAATTAGTTGCTAACTTTGAAATGTCGAAGTTTGAAATCCTTTGAAGACAATATCCACATTAAGTGGATTTGACTTGAGGTCAGATAATTTAAAAAAATAAGTTATTTTGAACCAAAGCTACATTTTCAACAGATTTTTGTGTAACAATTTCAATTTCCACAGGAGAAAGTATAAACATACATAGATATAGCTAATCCCCTTCCGAATTTAAACGCTTCAACATCCTACAAGTGTCTCCAACGCATTTGAAAATCAGTAACAAAATCTAAATTCCTTCATTTATAAATAAACCTACGTAACGCCGCGTATGTTGACTATGTACAGATCCTTGCTGGCAACGGCTAGCATGTGGAAAGTGCGTCCTGCGTTGGGCGCAAAGGCGACATCTGTCACTGGATCGGTGATATCATTCACCGTCTCCATTTTCACACATTTGCGCGCATTTTCACTATAGGCGAAGAGGAACACTTTGCCCGTGGGCGTTGCAGACTCATCGCTGCCGGCCTGCAATTCCAAAAAAATGGGTAAATCTTAAGATTTTGGGAATTTTAAAGCTAGCTTACCGCCAGGAGCTGTGTGACCATATAGGTGGATGTATTCCACGAGAGGCAGCTGAGCGTCAGCTTATTGGCAATCTCATGCTGAACGGGCCACTGTGATAGATTCATAATATCCGGCGCCTCGTAGATCCTTATAATGCCATCGGCAGAGGCGGTGGCCAGCAGAAGACCCAAATATTTTGGCGCGAATTCCACGTCCGTAACGCTGGTGCGTGAGTCCACCAATGTGGTGCGACGCACCCAGCGACGTGTAGAAACCTTTTCTCCCATCACTTCCTCCCAGACGGAGGCGGTACGATCGAAGGAGCAGGTCGCAATCACTTGACCGAACTCAGGGTTTGCCCATGATACGCGCCAAATGGAGCCGGAGTGCGCTTTCCAATTGCTCGTCACCGACCATTTGCCCTGATCATCTTCATCCCAAATCTAAACAATACCAGCGAATATTAATTTTGTTTTCTTCAATGACGGATTTTTTCTTACCTTTACGGTTTGGTCACTGGAGCAAGTCGCCATGCGGCGGCCGTAATAGTCGAAGACCACATCATGTATGACATCTTTATGGTCCGCAATAATGGGTTCCACATCGAACATGTTGGGTTCTCTTGGTAATTATATTGAATGAAAAACGCGGCTTTTCCGCTGCAAATATTATTGTCGACTGCAGGCGCTGCCCACAAGTGGGTTGATCGGAGTTGGCAGCCCTTGCATTTCGCGTTTTGCAACACTTCTTGCGGCAATCGGCAGCGCATCGATAATATCGATAGTGCATATCGTTGGAAAACTAAACAGAATCGGATTCATATTTACGCGTATAAAAAACCACTGATAAAACCTGTAAACAATTGTAGAATATGAGTATCAGCATAACTGTTGCACACACTAATCGCTAAAGAGGACAGTGCGCATTGCGTACATATCATTTGTGCTCATCAAGTGCTCCAGCTAGCAAAACAAACTGAACTAAAAACCACCCACAACCCAATTGGAAAACATTTTTTTTTTTGGCCAAACAATACAAAAATTGCTAACAAAAAGAGACGTGGAAAGCGCAATACGATGGAGAAAAGTAAGTCACTGGCTAACTAGCGCGTTTATCTAAGCACCAAGTACACAATGAATATGCGATTAAAGACTTTTCATACATAAATATGCGCATATGTAAAGACATTAGTTTTGAAGGGGGCAAAAGCACGGGTTATTCAACTCCTAGCAAGCAATACAGATGCATAAATCAACATTCAAATAACAGTGCTTGTATAGTTAAGTGTGTGTTAATTTGTTGTTAAATTAAATTCACTTGCACAATGAATGTGTGTTTGTTGGGCAGCATAATTTCAGTCAATATGCTAGCTCTCTTTTCCTTAGTCGCTGCTCTGCGCGCGCTTGTCGCTTGAGCTGACCTTGATTTCTATTGGACTCGCATATCGCGCGATGTCCGTGCCTATGTATGTGTGAGTGTGCCTGCATATATATATGTATTAATTGTGTGTGTGTGTGTGCCTGCATATATATGTATTAATTGTATGTGTGCTTGTGTGATTTGTGGTGTGTTTCGGTAGAACTCTTGTGGGTGGTTTCAAAACGATTTCCCGCTAAGCAGTCGGAGCAAGCCGGCTTCAATTACTTAATAGTTTGTGTCTGCATTTCTGTGTGTGTGTGGATAATTGTAATTGGAGATGAAGCCAGCGACGAATGTCGCGTCTTTAACAGCAGCCTGCTGATAACGGTTATATACATACATTTATACGTGTGTATGCATGTGTGTAAGTATGTGTGTGTGTATATGGCATGTCAATAGCAGCAGACGTCTGAGGCACGCGTATAAGGCTCACGCCCCATTGATGATAATCCACAAGATGGCCACGCGCCAAACATGAATAATTCCAAGTGTACGAAAATTTCAGTCTGCACTGATAAGAGCTGAGCATTGTTACTCTCTTCTCTTAATAACTGTTTATCGCTTACAGAAAATAAATAAATATGGTATTTAATCAGAGCCGGCATTTTGCCATTGCTACCGGCGAAATATGAAATTTTAATTGTGTGCACGCATAACACCAAAAAATCGTAAGATTTGTATTTCTTATCAGGCAATAGTGTGCCCTGCAAATTATTTAATGACTTTTAAAAATCCTCTGCTGATACACTCAAATAATGAATTGATTTGCGTGCTCTTCTCTCAGGCCAATCACAATCAGCAGTTAATCAATTTTGTTTTTGCTTCCCATTTTGGTTGCTTTTGCTGCTAGTTAAAGTCAATTGCAATCAGCTTTTTAGTTGCTGACGTCCATTGCAAAAGTGCAATTTGGGTTAGTTGATTTGTTATTGTTTTTGTTTTTACATTTTCTGATTGCTTTCGTGTCGCAACCCTAAACAACAATGCCCGCTTTGAGAGTATCATCAATGTCAAGGAATAGAGGAGATAACTTTAAGTTATGCAATAATAACAACAACAACCTTGACATTGAAAAGAATGTAAGCCGCCAGAGAGAGAAAGAGAGAGAAATATATATAAGATAGAGAGAGCGAGCTAGCACTAAAATATGTAGCTCAAAACACTGTTTCTTATCGATTTATCAAGTGTTATCGAAGCTTACGCGCCAAGCAATAAAGAAAAGAAAAAAAAACCAAAAACACAAAATGTAAATAAATAAATAAATCGCTGTCGCAGCGTGCAGATTTTTTTTTGTGTGCAGTCAGCAGCGACCCAGCAGCTGCCTCGACCCGTAAAGCCCTCTAAACAATTATCATACGAGCAATCCAAGCTAAGCACACATATCAACACACACCTGCTGCTGCTGTTGCTGCCGACGCAGACATTTCGGCAAGCATAAGTTGTTAGTTAGTTGGCTGCTGATAGCGACGACGAAGTCGACAGCAACTGCTGCCCAGTGGGCAGCGACGGCAGCAATAATCAAGCGTAGTGCGCGAAAGCGTCTCCATGTGTATGTCCATCAGTCAGTCGCATTCCAAACGTCGGTCAATGCGGTAGCAAATTTAGCGAATCGTGCGAAAACTTGTTGCTTCTTGCGTTGCGTAGCGCGCGCTTTAAACACACATTATAAAACACCTAGACAACCCAACAAAACGTGGTAAAAATTAAATATTATCAAACAACCAAACTAACTTAATATGTGTTTTTGCAAAATAATAACGAAATAACAAGAAAAAATCTATAAATGTAATATAAAAGTTTAAAATAATGCCAACGTATTGCGAGAGTTCCAAGTGTCTTCAAGTCACAATATTTATATAGAAAGCCATGTTCCTTAAAAATAAATATATATATATTAAATTTGGCAAGAGTGTTGCTCTTAAAGTCGTCTTAAATATTGAATTGCATAATTGCTCATGTATTTTGCACGTATTTGGCAAGCTTGTATGCCTTTGAAAACATACACCATGGCACACTTACATATTGTAATGATTAAATCGTTGACCTCTTCTATATGCAAAACCCAATTTGCATAGCTACAAAGCCCACCTACCTATCTACCTCGGTTGTTTGTCTTCTTTCTCGTCCATTTTGCTTTAAATGTAAATGCGTTGTGCCCCAGCGTACCCACAAAAAAAATATATATTTAATTTGGTATACTCTTTGACAGGGAAATAAGGCCCTGTCTAAGTAGCTTCCTAAACATTAAGAGTGCATGTAAATATATATATATATATATGAGGTAGCTTAGCTCTTAGCTTAGCTGTAACGGAAAACAACCTGTATCGTGTTTTAAATAGTTACACATTTGTTTTATCGTATTACATTCACTTCTATACAAAGAATAAAAACTGTTGCGTAAACTTAGCTCAGGCTGAGTTCGTAACACGAAAAGATTGCTTGATTTTATTATGTGACCGTTTTATATAAGGCGATATTTTAGTGTTGATAAGGTCTAACTTTCAAGAGTATTAAAGATTCGACAAGCAATTTTTGAATTGAATTTTATTTCATCTTGTTTTTTGATGAAACTAGTTTATACATAATTATGCAATTTAATATGATGTGTATTTTTGGCTTTACTTTCGCACGCAAATTCGTGAAGCAATCAATAAATATTGATGACTTTAACCTCTTGAACTCATATATGATATATATGTATATATATATATATTTATGTAATATATGTTTAAAAATAAATCCCACTGTGAGATATTTTATGTTTATCGGTCATATCAATAATTTTAGCTATTATTTGGACGTAGCTAATGTTTATCGCATTATTAATCACACTGGCGTTTATTGCATACCTGTTGAATTTGCTCTTTGGCCGCGAACGCGGCTGCTTAAGACAAAAAACACCATTCCCGACTAACAACAACAACAACAATAGTAAGAATAGTAAGAAATGTCTTCGTTTTGTAATTTAATTATAGCTTGCCACCAGTGTTGCTAAATTTGATCAAATATTGAGGCTATTGCGAAAAATTATTTTAAAAAAGCTATGCTATAAGTTAATAAAAAGCTAAATATATGCATACGTTTTTTCATGCTTGTGCTATATTTTTAATGTATTAGAATTTCATGATACTAACTTCTGCGACTATCTTCTAATTCATCATTTTCAAATTCATGCCTTATCTATATTTATATATTTTTTTTTAGCAAGCAATCAGCATTTTCAAGATTTTCAGCTTATTCCATTTAAAGTTGTCATCAGAGCTTAATAGTCAATTTGTGCACAATTTCCTTCACTCGTTGAAACTATTTTGAAAATCACCAAGCAGCGAAATTCACTTTTAAAAAATCAATGCTTTGCTATCAAATTGAAAAAAAAGCTTGATGTGGCGGGAAACAAAGCTGAATTGGCAACACTGCTTCACAATGGACGCGTGCACTTCAAATCGCAAAAACAATAGATCAACAGCACTTTAAACTAACAATGTTCATTTTTCATTTTGTTTGCAGGCAACTCCAGCGTTATTGCGGCTGCAGCAGCAACTTCGTCAGCGATAAGCGCAACAAAGATTAGCAGTGACCAGCAGCAGCTGCAGCAACAGCAACAAGAACAACAACAACAACAGCAGCAGCAGCAGAAACGGTTTCCTAAACCGTGCATAAAAAAGGTGAAATTCTCAAGCGAGAGCCTTAAAGCTGATGTAGTAGATGGCCTCTGTGAGCAGTTGAAGGATAACGTTTTGAACGATTTAAGCAATTTTAATCTCAACAATAATATCAACAACAACAACAATATCGAAATCAAATACAACAGCAAAATGAGCGAACAGGAAACGGCAACAACAAGCGGTGCAACGACCACAGATGGGGAACGCCCCAGTTTTCTGGTAAGGCCCTTCATATAACCATATATATTACATAATTAATTAATATTGAATTTAATTGCAGGTGGGCGATGAAATCGATGAGAAGGAGGCCATCGAAGCGGGCGAGGCTGGTGATCAGTTTCCTCAGAAAATGAGTGATATCCCTCAGAATGGAGACATTGCGGAGCGACGCAAGCGTCTAAGGTGAGAATATATCATATATCCTAAACAATAGCCTGAAAACGTGACAAACCAAATTCAAATACGTCACAGCTGATTGGGGCAAACAAAATCGCGCGAGTTTCGCAGAAAGAGATGGCAACACAATACGAAACAAGCAACGTGCCTCATGACGCTGAGTCAAAGAAAAAAAGTTTTTATCTTAAAGAGCTTTCAAAGAGAGCCAAAGCTACCAGAGACAGAGAGAGAGAGAGAGAGAGCGGACAATTGAGAGCAGCAACAACACCTGACAACCAGTGTGAAGAACTGTTTTGGAATTCTTGTTTAACTGTTTCCATCCATGCATAACAACAAATGAAGCCGCGCTGTCAACAACAACACACTTCAATTTATCTAATGCGCTTTCTCTCTATGTGTCTCTGTAGTCTCTCGCTCTCACTCTCTCGCTCACTCACTGACTCTCTGGCTGCTCAATGGGCCGTATGAGTAACGACGTCATCGTTTCTTGTTGTGGAGGGGCCAGCTTTCAAGCTGGCGATGTCACCGTTTGCTACTCAGTTTAGAAGTAATTGCCGTGAACGTCGGTCGCCATTATTAGTGTGCTCTAAAAAACCTTTGCTTTTATTTCGCCCTTCAGCTGACCATTCGCTTTATTTTTATGCAGTTTTGTATTGTATATTTTCTCAGTAAGGTGAAAGTCGTGTTGCATTCTGAAAATTAGTCATATATTTGATACAATACAATTGCATAATACCAATACGATAATTATATAGGTTGCATCTTGCAACGATCCGAAAACAACTTCAACTTTGGACTTGAATGCTCTTGGCCATAATTGCATGCGTTAAAATGTTAAAGCGTCGCGCCAGCAAACGTTTTGTTCTCCTTGAAACCGGTGAGGAGCTGCATTCATCATTATCGCCATCAACATCGTCGGCAGTGGATAACAATAATGCGCCAATGGTCATTCCCAATATTGTTGCCATTGATCAATGCGGCAACAACAACGACAGCAACAGCAGCAGCAGCATAGCCGATGAAAGTGGCTACAACAACAGCGCTAATGAGAACAATAATGAGAACAACAACAGCTCGTCATTGCCAACGCTGCTGAGTGTTCCGACAGGCGGCACCCTGAAGTAAATTTGCTAAAATCTATTTTCATGCATATATCACGCATAATTATTTTTATATGGCAAGTCAATAATTCAATTGCAAAAATGCAAAACGCGTCCTCCATTTGATAAAGAGAACGCGAGTGAGATAGAGAGAGAGAGACAGAGAAGTGAGTGGACAAAGATAAACAATGTAAAAGCTTTACAACAACAATAGCAAATCAAGAAAACTTTTTGACTTTACTAAACCGGTTTGCCAAAATGCCTTTAAAATTCCATTTGTTGCTGCTGCTGCTTCTTCTTTTGACAACTATAACTTTACTCTTTCCCTCTCTCTCACACACACTCTCTCGCTCTTGTCTAACATTGACCCACAGCCATAGCCAATGGGAGCACTGTGCAGCAAAATTGGGGTTTTTTTTTTGTAACCATGGCCCTAAAGCTAGTGTATTGAGCACAAACTATTTGTTGATGTATTTTTGATTTAATATATTGTTATGCATTCCACTGTAAATAGGGTATTTGTTATATTTGTAATGATTATATTATTTGTATATTTCTAAAGATTACAAAGTGTCCCGGTGATGATTTCAGTGTTTGTCTTATTGAAGTGCGATCTCGCACCTGCTGCTTGTGTTAATAATTAATCGGAATAAACAATATAGTAAATAGTCGCATAAATCAACACAATGCTTTTTTATTTACAGACCGAGCATGTCACGGACTGGCCTGGGCCAGGATCGGAATCAAGATCGTGACTTTCACATTGCCACCACGGAGGAGTTTGTGAAGCGTTTCGGTGGCACGCGTGTCATCAATCGTGTCCTCATCGCAAACAATGGCATTGCGGCCGTCAAGTGTATGCGCTCCATTCGCCGCTGGTCCTACGAGATGTTCAAGAACGAGCGAGCCGTTCGCTTTGTGGTCATGGTGACGCCCGAGGATCTGAAGGCCAATGCCGAGTACATCAAAATGGCCGATCATTATGTGCCGGTGCCCGGTGGCTCCAACAACAACAACTATGCCAATGTCGAGCTCATTGTGGATATTGCTCTGCGCACTCAAGTCCAGGTACGTTTTCCACTCAAAACATATCGTACGATCTGTGTTTACTCAAGCCAAGTGGATCGCACGCTTACAGCCACAACAACTTTGTATATTTTTTTTTGTATTTGTGTGTGTTTGCCTTTTGTGATTACACTGGGCAACAATCTAACAGTTGATTAAATCTAAACTTTTCAATTTGAAATACCTTAAGACTGAGTACAAGTACCTATACTAAAATTTGTTGGTTTTATTTCCTAGATTAGATCATTTCTAGTGTAATAAAAGTCAGTTAAGGTGTCTGCCCTTTAGCTTTCTATTGTAAATCTGCAGATGTTCATTCATTAATAAAGATTCGCGATTTCTTCTCCATTAAATAGTAGTGATAAATGGATGAAATTGTATTAGTGAACGCTTTAAATTCATAAACATTTCAAATTATAAATGCCTATTTAGGTCCATCATATTTTCTCCATTGTATATTAGATAAATAGATAGACACAAGTTGTTTTGCTGTGCGCTTTAAATTTATAAACATTTAAATTTAGAAATCTGAAGATATACAGCTCAATAAAGATAAACGATTCCTGATATGCGTATTTACGTCCATCATATTTTTCTCGAGGAAATCATATCTTCTCCATTAAAAAAAATAGATTGAGTGACGTCAGAAAATACTATTTTACACAAATATCTCTCTTTTTTCGCACAATGAGGATATCTAGCTGATTAGTTTTCTATTTCTTTGCTATTTTCATAAATTCAATTCTTAGTTTTGTTCTTAAGATTTGATTGAGTATATTTTTTTTTATTAAAAAATTAGCGTGCGATTATTTTGATTATGTAATAAATAATAATTAAATAGTAATTTCTGTTACCTTTCAGTCTGGTTAAAAATAATACTTAATTGTTTTTCACGCTGACGTCACATTTGATTGAGTAGATAAAGAAATCCTCATTACTCCATCCCCTATCTATTTAATTAGACACTTATCATAATTAATGAGGAACGCTCGCTTTAATTATAGGCCGTCTGGGCGGGTTGGGGCCATGCATCGGAGAATCCCAAATTGCCGGAGCTGTTGCATAAGGAGGGTCTGGTCTTCCTGGGTCCGCCGGAGCGTGCAATGTGGGCGCTGGGTGATAAGGTGGCCTCCTCAATAGTGGCCCAAACGGCAGATATACCCACGCTGCCGTGGTCCGGCTCGGAGCTGAAGGCACAGTACAGCGGCAAGAAGATTAAGATATCCAGTGAACTGTTCGCTCGTGGTTGTGTCACCAACGTGGAGCAGGGCCTGGCAGCCGTCACTAAGATTGGTAAGCTAAAATTTAACCTGTGAATATCTGATTTTACTCATATATCTGTCTTCTCCTGCAGGTTTCCCGGTGATGATCAAGGCCTCTGAGGGCGGTGGTGGTAAAGGTATACGTCGTGTCGACACCGCCGAGGAATTCCCTGGACTATTCCGTCAGGTGCAAGCCGAGGTGCCCGGCTCACCCATATTTGTGATGAAAATGGCACGCGGCGCCCGTCATTTGGAGGTGCAGCTGCTAGCTGATCAGTATGGTAATGCGATCAGTTTGTTTGGACGTGATTGTTCGATACAGCGACGCCATCAGAAAATCATTGAGGAGGCGCCGGCCATTGTGGCGCAGGAGGAGGTCTTCGAGGACATGGAGAAGGCGGCTGTACGTCTGGCCAAAATGGTGGGCTATGTGAGTGCCGGCACTGTTGAGTATCTGTATGACACCGAGGGCAGATACTTCTTCCTCGAGCTCAATCCTCGTCTGCAGGTGGAGCATCCTTGCACAGAAATGGTTGCCGATGTCAATTTGCCCGCCTGCCAGCTGCAGATTGGCATGGGCATCCCACTCTACCGTCTCAAGGACATACGTCTGCTGTATGGCGAATCTCCGTGGGGCTCATCGGTCATTGACTTTGAGAATCCGACGAATAAGCCGCGTCCTTCAGGACACGTGATTGCCGCTCGCATCACCAGCGAGAATCCCGACGAGGGCTTCAAGCCCAGCTCTGGCACCGTCCAGGAGTTGAACTTCCGCTCGAGCAAGAACGTTTGGGGTTACTTCAGTGTGGCCGCCTCGGGTGGTTTGCACGAGTTTGCCGACTCACAGTTTGGCCATTGTTTCTCCTGGGGCGAGAACCGTCAGCAGGCGCGTGAGAATCTCGTCATTGCCCTCAAGGAGCTCTCCATTCGTGGTGACTTCCGCACCACTGTCGAATATCTGATAACGTTGCTGGAGACGAATCGTTTCCTGGAAAATAGCATAGATACTGCATGGCTGGATGCACTGATTGCGGAGCGTATGCAGTCCGAGAAGCCGGACATCCTGTTGGGCGTCATGTGCGGAGCGTTGCACATAGCAGATCGTCAGATAACGGGAGCATTCACCAGTTTCCAGACCTCGCTGGAGAAGGGTCAAATCCAAGCGGCTAACACGCTGAGCAACGTGGTCGATGTGGAGCTAATCAACGATGGATTGCGCTACAAGGTGCAGTCGGCCAAAACTGGACCCAACTCCTATTTCCTGCTGATGAACAACTCCTTCAAAGAGATCGAGGTGCATCGCCTATCAGATGGTGGTCTGCTCATCTCGCTGGAGGGTGCCTCTTACACCACCTACATGAAGGAGGAAGTGGATCGCTATCGTATCGTGATCGGCAATCAGACCTGTGTCTTTGAAAAGGAGAATGATCCGTCGCTGTTGCGCAGTCCTTCCGCTGGCAAGTTGATCAATTTGCAGGTGGAGGATGGAGCACATGTGGCCAAGGGTCAGTCATATGCCGAGATCGAAGTAATGAAAATGGTGATGACGCTGACATCGCAGGAGGCAGGCACCGTCACTTTTGTGCGTCGTCCCGGCGCAGTCTTGGATGCGGGCACCTTGCTGGGCCACCTCGAGCTCGATGATCCCTCGCTGGTAACGAAAGCACAGCCCAACAAAAGTCAATTCCCCCAGCCGGAGAATCCGCCCATACCCGAGAAACTGAATCGTGTGCACAACACGTACAAGGTCATATTGGAGAATACTTTGGCCGGATACTGTCTGCCGGAGCCGTTTAATGCCCAGCGATTGCGCGACATCATTGAGAAGTTCATGCAGAGTCTGCGTGATCCCTCGCTGCCACTGCTCGAGCTGCAGGAGGTGATTGCCTCCATCTCGGGCCGCATACCCATCTCCGTGGAGAAGAAGATCCGCAAACTGATGACCCTCTACGAACGGAACATCACCAGTGTGCTGGCCCAGTTCCCATCGCAACAGATTGCCAGCGTCATTGATAGCCATGCAGCAACGTTGCAGAAGCGTGCGGATCGCGATGTCTTCTTTCTGACCACGCAGAGCATTGTGCAGCTGGTGCAGCGCTATAGGAATGGCATACGGGGACGGATGAAGGCCGCCGTCCATGAGCTGCTGCGTCAATATTACGATGTGGAGTCCCAGTTCCAGCATGGACACTATGACAAGTGTGTCGGCCAGGTGCGGGAGCAGAACAAGGATGATATGCTGACGGTGGTCAACACGATATTCTCGCACTCGCAGGTAGCCAAAAAGAATCTGCTGGTCACGCTGCTCATCGATCACCTGTGGGCTAACGAGCCCGGCCTGACCGATGAGCTGGCCAACACGCTGAGTGAGCTGACCTCGCTGAATCGGGCAGAGCACTCCCGAGTCGCGCTGCGATCGCGCCAGGTGCTCATCGCCGCCCATCAGCCGGCCTATGAGCTGCGTCACAATCAAATGGAGTCCATATTCCTATCGGCCGTCGATATGTACGGTCATGACTTCCATCCGGAGAATCTGCAGCGTCTGATCCAGTCGGAGACATCGATCTTCGATATACTCCACGACTTCTTCTATCACTCCAATCGCGCCGTCTGCAATGCCTCCCTCGAGGTGTATGTGCGACGTGCTTACACCTCCTACGAGCTGACCTGTCTGCAGCATCTCGAGCTGTCCGGCGGACTACCGCTCGTCCACTTTCAGTTCCTGCTGCCGACGGCGCATCCCAATCGCTTGTTCTCGCGCATGAGCTCACCAGACAGACTGGATCAGGCTGCCGCCGAGTCGATGGGCAGTTCCTTTGTCCGCACGGGTGCCATTGCTGCCTTTGATTCGTTCGAACACTTCTCGATGTACTCGGATGAGATTCTCGATCTGCTCGAAGACTTTGTCTCGCCGGCAATGGTCAATGCCAAAGTGCTCGAAGCTGTCGAAGCAGTGGATTCCATTTCGGATAGTCGCCACAGCACCTCGATCAATGTTTCCCTCTCCGATCCCATTTCACGGGCAAACGCCGCAGAGGAGGCCAAATCGACGGAACCGATACACATCATTAGTGTGGCGGTGCGGGAGACGGGTGAAATGGACGATGTGCAGATGGCACAGATCTTTGGCAACTATTGCAACGAGCACAACGAGGAGCTCTTCCAGCGACGCATTCGTCGCATTACGTTTGCCGCTCTGAAGAAACGCCAGTTTCCCAAGTTCTTCACTTATCGGGCACGCGATAAATTCGAGGAGGATCGCATCTACAGGCATCTGGAGCCGGCATCTGCTTTCCACTTGGAGCTGAATCGCATGAGGACCTATGATTTGGAGGCGTTGCCAACGGCTAATCAGAAGATGCATTTGTATTTGGGCAGGGCAAAGGTGTCCAAGGGTCAGGAGGTCACCGATTATCGTTTCTTTATCCGTTCGATCATCCGGCACTCGGATCTGATCACCAAGGAGGCATCATTCGAATACCTCCAAAATGAGGGCGAACGCGTTCTCCTGGAGGCCATGGATGAGTTGGAGGTGGCCTTTTCGCATCCGCATGCGAAGCGCACCGACTGCAATCATATCTTCCTCAACTTTGTGCCCACTGTCATCATGGATCCGGGTAAAATTGAAGAGTCCGTGACCAAGATGATCATGCGCTATGGTCCACGTCTCTGGAAACTGCGCGTCCTTCAAGCCGAACTCAAGATGGTCATCCGCCAGTCGCCGCAATCGCCCACGCAGGCAGTGCGCCTCTGCATCGCCAACGACTCCGGTTACTTCCTCGACATCTCCATGTACACCGAGCAAACCGAACCTGAAACGGGCATTGTAAGTGTCTACAGATGTCTCCAACTGAACTATTAAACTAATCTCGCTTAACTCGCTCTCTTTTTCATGACAGATCAAGTTCAAGGCTTATGGCGAGAAGCAGGGATCACTGAATGGCCACCCCATATCGACGCCGTACATGACCAAGGACTTCCTGCAGCAGAAACGCTTCCAGGCACAATCGAATGGCACCACGTACGTGTACGATATGCCCGACATGTTCCGCCAGATGACCGAACGCCATTGGCGGGAGTTCTCCAAGGCGCGACCCACTGTCGACATACGCATACCCGACAAGATTCTCATCGAGTGCAAGGAGCTGGTGCTCGAAGGCGACAATCTCGTCGAGATGCAACGTCTGCCCGGCGAGAATAATGTACGTATGCAGCAGATATAGGAGATCCGATAATGAATATAATAATCTGTATAATCTCATCCCTTTTGTGGTTGCTTTTCAGTGTGGAATGGTTGCTTGGCGCATTATCCTGGCCACACCCGAGTATCCGGCTGGTCGCGAGATAATCGTGATTGCCAATGATCTGACCTATTTGATTGGCTCCTTTGGCATCCAGGAGGATGTGCTCTTTGCAAAGGCATCGCAATTGGCGCGCCAGCTCAAAGTGCCCAGGGTAAGCAGCTTTACTTGCTCCAACTGCCAACTCCAACTAGATGCTAATTAATCATAATCTTCAGATCTATATATCGGTTAATAGCGGTGCACGCATTGGCCTCGCCGAGGAGGTGAAGGCCATGTTTAAGATCGCATGGGAAGATCCCGAGGAGCCCGACAAAGGTTTCAAATATCTCTACTTGTCCACGGAGGATTACGCCAAGGTGGCCAATCTGAATTCGGTGCGTGCGATCCTGATTGAAGATGAGGGAGAGCAGCGCTACAAGATCACCGACATCATCGGCAAAGATGATGGTCTGGGCGTTGAGAATCTACGCTATGCCGGCCTCATCGCTGGAGAAACTTCGCAGGCCTACGAGGAGATTGTGACCATTGCCATGGTCACCTGTCGCACCATCGGCATTGGCTCCTATGTAGTCCGTTTGGGTCAACGTGTCATCCAAATCGACAACTCACACATTATACTCACTGGCTATGCGGCCCTGAATAAGGTGAGGCTCAATTGAAGCAGCCTGTTGTAATCCTAATTCTAATCCCACGCCTGCATCTCCATTTTAGTTGCTCGGTCGCAAGGTTTATGCCTCGAATAATCAGCTTGGCGGTGTTCAGATTATGTTCAACAATGGTGTCACCCACAAAACGGAGGCCATTGATTTGGATGGTGTGTACACCATTCTCGATTGGCTCTCCTACATTCCTGCCCACATTGGCTGCGATCTGCCCATAATTTTGCCCAGCGATCGCATCGATCGTCCCGTTGACTTTATGCCCACCAAATCCCCATATGATCCACGCTGGATGCTCGCCGGCCGTGTCAATCCGGCCAATGGCAATGAATGGGAGAATGGATTCTTTGATCGCGACTCCTGGAGCGAGATTATGGCGTCGTGGGCCAAAACCGTGGTCACGGGACGTGCTCGATTGGGTGGTGTGCCAGTTGGCGTCATTGCCGTGGAGACTCGTTCCGTGGAGGTAGAAATGCCCGCTGACCCGGCCAATTTGGATTCCGAGGCGAAGACACTGCAGCAGGCGGGTCAGGTCTGGTATCCGGATTCATCGTACAAGACTGCGCAGGCCATTAAGGATTTCGGTCGCGAGGAGCTGCCGCTGATTGTGTTCGCCAACTGGCGTGGCTTCTCCGGCGGCATGAAGGACATGTACGAGCAGATTGTCAAATTTGGCGCCTACATTGTGGACGGATTGCGCGAGTACAAGAAGCCGGTGCTCATCTATCTGCCACCCAATGCGGAACTGCGTGGCGGAGCCTGGGCGGTGCTCGACTCGCTCATCAATCCGCGCTATATGGAAACCTATGCCGATCCAGAGGCACGCGGCGGTGTCCTTGAGCCCGAGGGCATTGTCGAAATCAAGTACAAAGAGAAGGACCTCATCAAAACAATACACAGACTGGATGCCACCACAATCGGGGTAAAGCTAAAGACTATATATTTATATAGAAATATATATAATATTATTATATTATTTGTTTCTAGCTGAAACGCGAGCACGATGAAGCCATTGCCGCCGGCGACAAGGTGAAGGCCGCCCAGGTGGATGAGAAGATCAAGACGCGCATTGCGGTGCTGATGCATGTTTATCACACGGTCGCCGTGCACTTTGCCGATCTTCACGATACGCCCGAACGGATGCTGGAGAAGGAGTGCATCAGCGAGATTGTGGCATGGCGCGATTCACGTCGCTGGCTGTACTGGCGTCTGCGTCGACTACTGCTCGAGGATGCATACATCAAGAAGATACTGCGTGCCCAGGACAATCTCTCCGTCGGCCAGGCCAAGCAGATGCTCCTCCGCTGGCTAGTCGAGGATAAGGGCGCCGCTGAGGTAAAGATGAGATAGCAATTCACTTACGAAATGGATTTAATTTGTATTTTTACTAGGCCTACTTGTGGGACAATAATGAGGAAATGGTGAACTGGTACCAGGAACAAACAAACACCGAGTCGATTGTGTCCAAGAATGTGAGCTCTGTGCGGCGGGATGCCATCATCTCAACGATATCCAAAATGCTTGAGGTAGTCTCAAATTTGTTAAGTGTTATAATTGCTGCTTTTGCTAATGGGAAAACTATCCTAATTTTTTGTAGGACTGCCCGGAAGTGGCGCTGGACGCTGTTGTTGGCCTCTGCCAGGGATTGACGCCAGTTAATCGGGGCGTCGTTGTGCGCACCCTCGCACAAATGCAGCTGAACGAGGAGTCATCGGCGAATACCCAGGGATGACTTTACCTGCACTATTAAGTTGAGTCAGCTCGTCGTCTACAAATATTGGGGAATCTGTCTGTGAATCGGCGATGTGTCTGTTTTTTTTGGATAGATGCTTTCAGCAAACTGTTGTGAAGACTTGCTTTTGTATAATACTACGAGGGAGCAAATGTTTTGCATTTGGTTTAGTTGAATTTTCTTAATGTAATTAGCCTATTATTATATTAGTTACTACTACTTAGTTACTTCAAATGGAAAGCAGACGTTGCGCCGAGCTGCCTTTATTTTTGAAATTGTAGGCGTGGGTAGTACGAGGAACACTCATTAAATTTTCAAAAAAAAAAGCATACATATAAATCTATATACATATATATATATATATATATACACTGTCTATCTTTGTATTTGTATTGTATACAAAAGCAAAACTTTCCGCTAGTTGTCTAAGACAAAAATGTTTATACACAGAGATTTTTTGTGAATTATACGAATAGAAATACTATTGTGAATATACAGTTGTATACAGTTGACCTGTTTAAATTGACCATTTCAGCTATTTGGCTATGTGAATATCCGTTCTTGAAGTGATCCAGGATGAGATTCCGTTGTTCAATGGTAGTCCGTTTGCCCATAGTCCTTGTTGACTGATTGCACCCGAGATGCAGGATATAACTAAACTGACTATGAAGGATTGGTCTATTTATACCGAAAATAATCAACATTACGTAAAAAATCCGGGTTTTATGGCACCCAGGTGTCCATAATGTCACTGTTGAAAATAAGCTGTGACCATAAATTAAGGTACTTTTTTACATAACCCGGCCCAGCCGGCGGGAAAACCCCAGTTTATGGGGGTCATATAGTCATTATGGTGGTTAATATATGTACCTGCCATAGGTCTTTGGAATTTTTGAAAAATATTGTATTATTAGTTTATGGCAGGCAATTAAAATTTTTGCTAGACACTGCCGAAATAAGCTGCGAGACACTGTATGTATGTACATGTTTCATAAAAATTGAATTTCATTTTGAAAAATTGAATTCGATTCAATTCCGATTAGTTTTGTGTTTTGCATTGATCCATGGGATCATTTTATATGCATCTCATATTTATTTCTTAAATCCAAAATGAAATTTACATGTAAGTAAAATATAAAACATGTCGAACTTTGACCCGGCTGCAACCAATCCACTACAGATTCATACTATATATGATGAGAGTTTCAGTTATGATCTGATCCCGCTCGCATGCTCAGTTCTGTTTATCCAGCCAGTCAGGCTCGGCAATGCCAATCTTCTCAATGATGGAATTCACTTGGTAGCACAGCGATTGGATTTGACGATCCCATTGTGGCAGCAGTTCACGATTCTCAAAGTGCACAATCCCAGAGATCTGATCAATGTGCCCATTCATCCGACCCTCGGTGATCATTTGTGAGGCAATCTTCTCGGCTTTCGCTGCGGGTATGTCCAACAGTGCTCCCAACTCTTCGAACGTGATGTTATTGTACAATTTGCTGGCGGACAACAAGTTGTGCTCGAAGACAGCGCGATCCAGTATGGACGAGCCATCCGGTGTGGCAGCCTTCTGATGATCCTGCAACAGTGCCTCGAACTCCTGCAGCTCAGAGCGTCGTATGATGCGCTCCAAGTACATTTTCTCCAGTATACCATAGGCTGGTAAATGCTGACAGCGCTCATCCTTAAATAGAGTCGCCAGCATGCGAGAGCGCTGCTGTCCAGCCGACGCCAGCACCGTACAGATAAGAGCCTTCTTCAGGGCGGTCATGCGCTCACCTTGGTCCACGATCTTTCGGTAGGACAGTTCGTTGTAACGTTGGGCAGCTTCAATGAATTTTCGACGGTAATCGAGAACGCGGGCATAGCACACTTTATACAGAACCTGCAGCAAAAAGTGGAATATAATTAAATACAAATGAAGGAGCAGTTTATATTTGTAAGCGATACGCACCTGTAATTCTTCAGAGTTAGTTTCGGCCTGCAGCAGCGAGGCACGATTGATGAACAGCTCGGCCTGCACGGAATCATTGTCCTCCAAATAGAGACGTGCGATTTTCAGGTATGTACCCAGTTTGCACTCCACAGAGTACTGTTTTTGGCCAGTCTCCAGGGGAATACCGACGAGAACATTGGCCGCATCACGCCATTGCCGATTGCGTTCATATATGTTGGCCAAATGGAATCGTATGCCGGCCACCTGCTCCTCGAATGAGATAACGCGTGGATGGACTTTCTCCAGTGTGAAATGAGACAGCTGCTTGGACATGTCGTCGGGCAACTTGCTCAGCTCGACGCCCACATCATTCAGTATCTGGCGAGCGATGACAAGGCTAACATGCTCGTTGACAATGGCTTCCACAAAGAGCTTTAGGGTATCGATCAATTCGGGGCCGGTGTTCGTGAGGACACTTTTCAACAGTTGGCGGTACTTGTCTGCTTGGTCCTTGTGTGTGCCGATGAAGTTGGTCAAGCCCATTAGCTGGGTCCGCAACACCGCCGTCGATATCCCCATTATTTAGGATCGTAACCACTAATTCTTTCTAAACTGCACCTAAGAAATCACACAAAACTAATAATATTATCGATAAGAACGCAACAGTGTTGAGCAGCGCCGCTCAGTACTCGTTATCGATGTGAGTGGCATATCGATAAGCCATCATTTTTAAATATCTTATCGATAAGTGCACTCGATAAGCAAACAAAGCGGGAAGCACTTTGTCAGCTGGAAATCTGGCATGGGTGTTGATCATGGAAGATGACGATGATGACTATAGCATAGATGCAAGTCCCACAGATCCAAGTGGGAGTTATTCCAACAGATCCCAACGCTCACGTGGACGAATAACTTGTACAAAGACAAAGCCGGCAACTGAAACGCAATTGCAATGTGAAATCGTAAATCTTGGTGAATTGGAAAATTGTTTTGATTTGCGCGAAGCGCAGCTGTTCGAAGCCGATCGCTTGGACTGCTTGCGAGCCCGACAAGAACCGGCACGAGAACGTCTCGTGCCAGCCTCGCAAGACTTCCAAACACTTCAGTCCCTGCTGGAAAATGACCAGATACCTATGGAAAAGACCGAACCGGAGGCCGACTATGAAATTGCAACCCAATTGCTGAGCACTCCATTAAGCGTAGTCCAAGAGATCCTTCAGGATTTCTGTGGTTCACCCAGTTACGTGGAGGTGGAGCTGCCCACATACTATGATGCTCTGCCCTGGTTTCGTTTCAGGGATAAACACATTAAGACATTTGCTCGCCGTTCAGCGACAACAGCTTCGACAGCAGCAATAACAACAGTTACTGATGATGATGATCGCTCGAGTTGTTCCTCGGAGTTGTCGATCCAAGAAGATTTCACCACACAAGTTCCAACGGCAACGCACTGCGCCTTCGATGCCAACAGCTCACAGAAGATTTGTGAGAATCTGCTCAATCTCAGCGCGTTTTTCACACAAAAAAACAATGCAAATCTGTCGATTGATTTGCCCGAGATGCAAACGGAACTCAAGGATTGCACTCTAATGGAACTGAAGGAGTACGATGAGTTGGATGATGCCACTGATGTTTTGGAGGACATTGGCTACTTTGTTGGCAAAGCGGAGCAATGCAAATATGTTGATGATAACTGTGATAATAAAACTATAGGTAAAGTTTTGAAGAAGAGCTCATAAATATTTATTATAATGGTCTCAATTTGCAGATAATGCTGAATTTTCTCTATTTAGTGAGAGAACTCGAATCTTAACGACAGATATCCAAAGCACGGATAAGGGTAACTATATTCCATTCAAGAAGTCACAAAATTTAATTTCAATTTCTCATTCAGATGCTCAACTTTGTGGAGATTGGTTCGATGGCGATTTCGATAGTCAGAAGTTAACCAAAAAGGATGCAAAGGAGAAATCGCAGAAAAGGGAAACCACAAAAGCATCGATTCATTTGCTTGAAGGAATCCCCCTAAGTGAATGGCAACCAATCGATATAGCAGATTCACCCAAGAAAATTAATATAAAAACTGAACTGGAATCTGATTGTAATCAGCTGGAAATGGTTACATTCAGTGAATGGCAACCCATGGATATTCCGGATGCCATCGAATTCAGGACTGTTTCAGACAAGACAATACAAGTTTCAGAAGTTAATCAGCAGGATGCTGCGAAATTAATGACTGATCTGATGGAAAGCCACTCGCAGAAACAACAAGAAGCTAGAAATGATAGAAATCCACATTCTGAATTTGCAGAAAACATCGAATTTCGCACAGCATCAAATAAAACTGTGAAACTAACGGAGGAAATGCGAAAGAAGGCAGCAATATTAATGGCTAATTTGGAAGCTGACACTGCAAATCCCCAAGATTGCCATCAATTAAATATAAATTGTGGATTCCGCACAGCATCAAATAAGACCATTGAAGTGACGGAGGCGATGCAAAAATCAGCGGCAAAACTAATGGCTGATTTGGAAATCAACAATCAGTTAAAAAGAGAAGCGGATGCCTCTGACTGTGAAATGCTCGAGGGGATTCCCTTTAGCGAATGGCAGCCAATGGATGTTCCAAACAGTTTAAACCATGAAGATGTAGAAGCGAATCAATTGGATATGATTCTATTCAATGAATGGCAGCCCATGAGTGATTCAGATGATGTTGCATTTCGCACTGCCTCAAACAAGGCAATCGCCATTTCTGAGGAGAAACTGGCAGAGGCTGCAAAATTAATGGCTGATGTAGAAGCAAGCTATTCCCAGAAACTAAGAGAGGATAGACATGAGGGCGATCCTCATTCAGACATATCTGGAAACACTGAGTTCCGCACAGCATCCAATAAAACAATGAAATTAACAGAGGAGATGCGCAAGAAGGCAGCAATGCTCATGGCTGATTTGGAAACAAACTGCAATCAGTTGGACAAGATCCAGCTAAAGGAATGCCCGGCAGAATCTGCTGAATGCCGCACAGCATCCAATAAGACAATTCAAATTACAGATGAGAAGAAAAAGGCAGGAGAAAAACTAATGGCTGAGATAGAAGCAAGCTATTCCAAGCAACTAAGAGAAGATAGAAATGATGGAATTACCCATTCAGATATATCTGGAAACATCGAATTTCGTACTGCATCAAATAAAGTAATGGAAATAACAGAGGAGATGCGCAAGAAGGCAGCAATGCTGATGGCTGATTTGGAAACAAACTGCAATCAGTTGGACGAGATTCATTTAAAGCAAATCCCACCGCAGAACATCTCAGAATGTGTTCAAGTCACCAAAGAAGTAGTAGAAGAGACGGTTAAAATTGTAATGTCCGATGTGGAAGCAGTAATCCCAGAGCCACCCAGTGAAGCTAACAATGAGATCACATCATGTGCACGGATAAGCAAGGATATGCAAAAGGTTTACGAAGTGACGGCGACGCCGCATCAGCCTCAGACATCCATATTGGAGGTGCCGTTTGAGACGCCCAAGTGCACGCCAGAGATGGAATCCTCCCTGACGCAGCTCACGGAACGTTCGCCGCTGGACCGTGCCACAAAAAGTTCGATAATAACGCGTCGCAATCTGTTGTCGCTGAATAAGCGACGTAAACTCAAAAGGGATTCGGAGCATTGCAGCACGGATGCCAGCCATACACCGATCAGACTGCGCTTTACTCCAATGGCAGCCTCGACCAGCACACCCGTTCCCAATCGAAAGGAAGATATTAAAGAGGTTTCGCAATCGCAGCGGACGGGCAGGGATCGGAGCTGCTCTCAGGATTCGCCACGCGTGGCGATAGCACGTGTTGGCAAGCGGCGCAGTGAAGATGTTTTATCACCCATTTATGCGCCCGCAAATAAGACACGACGTCTAGGCTTAAGTCGCATTCGCAATAAATCATCCCAGGACATTTGAATAATTAAGTACGTTACAAAAAAGACTTATACACAAATATTGCAGTGCTGGCAGTGTCATTTTTCGGTTAATTTCAGTTTTCGTCGTTTCACAACACTACCATATGTGAGTTCCAGTCTCTCATTCCATTTTCAGTTGGTAAGGAAGTAAATAAGTGTAATATAAAATAAATAAGCGCAGCTTAGAACACCCATAACAATTGTAAGTTACTAATAAAAAGCAATTATGTAAATAATGGACATACAATCAAACGAAATGCGTTTAGTCACAATTGTTTTTAGCTGCACATCAACAAATCGAAATGAACTTTGTTTACGTTCGCTACCTAATTTCCATTGGAAGAAACCCAAATGCAGAAGGCAAAACAATCCAATAAGAAAGTGACTTCATGTTTTCGAAAAATGTCAGTTTGCCCATTGACTTGAATAATTAATAATAATATGACAGCATAGCGTAACTTTTAATAGCTCTCACGTATGTTTATATGTACATACGTAAGCTAGCAGCTTTGACTTACATACTACATATGTGTGTATGTATGTATGTATTAATATGCATGCATGTGTGTGTTCCAGCAGCTGCATTCTGATGTGAAAGTGTGCACACAATTCCAATTGCCTACACTTGTTACACAAACTAGAAAAATACACATGTATATGTGCATATGTATATATGTGTGTGTGTTTTGTCATCCAGATTTTGTTTGTTGTGTTTGAATTGCGTGTCATTTGTTTATAATCGCTCATAGGCATTTGCCAAGGTCGCTTAAATGTAGTCGAAGTAAGGCCTCAAAAGAATCATCCGGCATACTACACACATATATATTTATATATGTATAAATGTATGTGTGTTTGGGTGTAGATTGAACCCACATCTGCTCTATTAACTAAGCTATTTAAAATTGTGCGCGCTCTCAGCACAGACTTTATCAGAATAAAAAAAAAGAACGAAATTCTATTATAGGGTTTCTGTCTGAGTTTTCGGGAGAGTTATGAGCAATACGTTCCGAGTTCTAATCACTGCGCTTCAGAATTCGTTACAGTTGAGCACATTTACAGTTTGAAAGCACTTCTGTTTTTTTTTTATTATATTCGCCAGTTGAGTCTTGTTTCCTCGCCAGTGTGCTAAACTGTTTTCTTTTTCGCTTGCGCCACGTCAGTTGAAATTTTCAATAATCTCTCCATATGTGTTGTGAGTACATGTATATTATCAAAACAAACAATTCTCGTTGATATATTCGCAGAGGCAGCTGCTAGACTCGGGCATATAAAACAAAACTGCAAACCAAGATGGGTGACGAACTCGATGGCTGCGAATGCATTTGGTCCCATGAAATGGCCATGCAAAGGCTTATCAATTTTGTAAGTTTCCTTCAATTGTTAGCCACAACTATGTGTAAAGATATTTATAATCAAACTATCTCAACAGATACGCCAGAATCAGAACGCTTGCTCCGATACTACGTGCATTGATGGTAAGTACCTTCCAGTACAGTGTACGCTCGCTAAGTCGAATTTGCATCTTCAATTGAGTCTATAAATATTATATACAATAGTTATATTTTCCAACTGCAAACATTTATGTTTATTTTAACGAATTGAGATATAAATTTGAATAATAGTCATTAATATTGAACATTTTAAAATTTAAGAAATTGTATAATGTAATTAAATTTTTTACATATTTAGCTTAGACTTAAAACTGAATTCCACAAACGTGAGATTCTAATTAGCGAGCGAGTACTGTATCCCAACCACTGTATTAACTTGCTCTTGCATTTAGTGAGCGGACGTGTCACGGGCCAGGCTGGCGCCGACGACTCTTGCGGCAACAGCATTCGGATTGCCATCGCCTTCTTGCTGCTGGCCATTTTCATGTACATTGTGAATCCGAGCACCTGGAGTCGGTTTACCACCAACAGCAAGAACAGTCGCCGGGATAACAATCCGGATGGTGCGCCACCGCCGCACCAGCCACGGCCGGCCATCAATTGAGGGCTCACTGTGGTGCTACAGCTTGCATTTTTCTTTCCGTTTATAGCTACATACACATATATGCATACAAATATATACATATAGGTGCAAATGTATATATCTAAAGTATCTACATATTCGCCAAATAAATCGACAGCAAATACATAAATGAAAACGGCACTAATCTAGAGTCTGTGTGTGTGTGTGTGTATGTATGTGTCTGTGTTCTCGGTCACTACAATTAGATCAATTGACACAACTCTCATTTACTAAATATCAAATTTTGTACAAACTTACTACTGCAATATATGCAGATATATATATATATATGTGTGTGTGCGTATATCTGTATACTATATGTATTCATATATATATATATGGCATATAATTTCTCCTGTGTGTAATCTCAATACAGAAATTGGTAAATAAACTTGGGCTAAGGCCAAAATATAGAGAAACTACAACTTCTTTGCTTGTGTGTTAATAAAAACCGAGTCTGTTATGTATTTTTGTGTATTTACAAATTAAAAGCATGTCGAAATCGATTGCAATCTCAACTTAGTTGTCATCATTTTGCAGCTTTTCCATTCGCTGGCGTACATTTTTGAGCACGCCTTTCATTTGCTCGTATTTGCCTGTGGAATCGGGCAGATTCTCAAAGTTAATCACATCGCTGACGCCCACCTTGAAATTATCGCCCACTGGCAACTTGTCATAGATGGAGAACTTCAATACGGGCGTGCCTTCAATTGATGGACCATTAAATATTGTCGCTTTGCTGACTTCTGGAACAGCAACTGAAGATGATGCAGGAGCTGAAGATGGAGCTGAAGATGGAGCTGGAGCTGGAGCAGGAGCTGTTTCTATTGTGGATTCATCGTTCGCAGTTACCTCGACTGTGCCGACTTCACTTGCGTTTAGTGAAGTGTTAGATTCGAGCTGCTGCAACAATTGTGCCTGCTGCGCCCTGAGATCCTCCAGCGTCGGAGATGGTGCTCGTTTTGCTGTTCCTTCCGTTGGTGGCGGCGGTGGCGGTGCGGCCTGTATGCACTCTGTGGGCAGGGGTGGCTGCATAGCTGCCTCATCCTCACCATCATCGACGTCCATGTCGTGCTCGACTAAGTTGGAGCCGCGTTCAATCGTCATAGGATTCGCATCATGCGGCGTGGGCAACTCAATTAGTTTCTTGCGTTTGTAACCCTTTGTCACATTTTCACCCAGCGACTGGATGAAGTTTGCTTTGAGCTGTTGCTCCTGAAACCGAGGTACATTGTGATGCTGATAGTCCTGCAAATGGATTTAAGTTTGGATAGAATTATCTGCGGATTGCCGAAGTATTTCTAATACCCTTGCAGAAATCAGCAAAATTGAATGAATGAATCGATGCCAGCAATGAGTACATAAATATTCTATGGGTTCGCCAAAGTTCTCCCAAGAATCGTAATGCCCTCTGCAAGGGATATATTTATAGTTGGCTTGGTTGCATGCAATATTTACATCATAGAATTTGCTGCCGGGCTCTACATTGAAGCCGGGGAAATCAATAATTTTATTGATATCATATTTAAAGCTGTCCTCTTCGCCCTCCTCCTGCTCCGGTCCCTGCACTTCGCTGCCCTGCAATTGCCAATAAGTTAAGCTACATTTGATATATATATGTGCATCATTTTAAGCATACTCACGTCCGCATTAAAGAGCGCAATGCCCGAACTTTGGACCTTGGCCTCTTCGAGCCAGGCGGGTGGGTAGCCCATCAGTCGCATGCGATAGAACATGAATGGCAACTCGCCGCGACTGAAGCCCATCGCATGGCGTGTCTTACTGCTAATCTTGCCGGGTCGAATGTGGGCGAATCGTTGCTCCGTGTCTACGTGGTAGCGATCCGCGCGGAAATTGGAACGCTTGCGGGCACGCTGAATTCGGGCTTGATTGCGGGGTCGCGTGCACTCGCGCAGCGAATGATCCGTATCGCCGCAGTTGAAGCACGATGATTGCACCTTGGGCCGGAAGCATTTGTTGACCGCCTCCAATTTCTGTCTCTTGCGCGCCGACGTCTCCTCGTCGAGGATGTCGCCGTGGCTGCGCTTGTATGAAGGCACTTGAGCGGCATTTAAACGCACAGCTGGCGCCGTATCAATCAAAAAGAGATCATCATCAGGCAGTGAAACAATTTCGCTCTTTTCATGGGCAATAATGCTTGGCGTCGAATCGCTTAATTTAAACACAATTTCATCTTCGGCAAACGTTGTATTTAACATTTTGAGCAGACGCTTGTGCAGACTTTCGTAGTCGTCCCGGTCACGGAAATGCACTTCAAATATCACCTTGCCATCCTGCTAAGATAATTTACTAATAATAATTTTTGTGATTTTAGTTAATTTTATCTTTACTGTACTTCGTTGTTTGTTTCCCTTGTGGGGACGGGGGGCGGGGGTGATTGACGGGATTTGGCGGCAATGTTAACGTGTTCAGTGTCGGCTTCTGTGACTTCGCCATCTTCCACATCGGCATCCGCATCGCTTTCAATTGTTGTTATTGAATCGTTAATTACAATTACGCTATCGTCCATTTCTTTTTCAATAAAGCCGAAAATGATTATTTTTTTGTTCATTAGCTTGTGTTTATGGTTCCAGGGCTGCACAATCGATGAACTAGTTACTTTGACACAGCCAGGGTTGCCGCTTCAGCCTTTTTACGCACAAAGCTGTTACTTTTCAATTTAAGTTAGCCGGAAAAATGAGCAAACAGCTCTTGTAACGAAATCTCTGATTTTTTCAACAATTATAAATTAATCATCGGCTCATATAGGATGATGAAATATATAATTTGGTAATTAAGTATTAGTAATATATTTAATGTCATTGCCATTCCAATCAAAAAAATTTAATTTTTAAATTTAGTTTTTTAATAATATTTCTCTTTTCTGGCCTTGTTTTGGTGGATTTGTCCCCTATTAGTAATGGATAGTCCGCAGCATTATAATTTTATCTAGTCACAGCTGCGGCAGTCTTTTATTCAAACGATAATTTGTTGCTCATTTCGATTTCTTCTTTAATACTATTCTGCATATATATTATTTTCATATTTATTTGTATTTTTGAACTCATGTGCCTTGATCTAAAAAATTTAAATCTTTCATTGCTATTTTACAATTTGATAACAACGGAGCTGAATATTTTTAATATTTTTGACGTATTCACATATTTGTTAAATATATATCTTTTTACCATAGCAAACCAAATCGATGAGCAACATTATGGCAAACATAAAGTTACAGGCAAAATTGCATATGGCCGTATGATAAGATGTCCATTTAACAGCACCAATGTGTTGGAGAGAACAGATATGGAGGTAAGTTTGCCATATAATCGGCATCTAAAATATAATATAATAATATTATACTTGTTTGTTAGTCACATGTTCAAGAGTGCGAGTCCCGCATGGATCCCGCACGAATAAATTTACGGATGAATACGGATACTTGGGCAACACCAAGAAGCCTGAGGCCTCAACGGTCAATTTGATGGAATGCTCGGAGGGATGATGAACCGCCTTCGGACACATAGATCCAATGGAATCGTGTGAGAAGCACTGCAAAATTGAGCTGCAATAAGAACAACTACAAGACTATTTAAGCAAACATTAATGCAATATATAAACAAATATAATATATCACATAACATTTAACGTGCGAAGCACTTTACACACACCAATAAAAGATAATAAAATAATTATGCATAACATAACACAACATAGCATAAATAACACATTCCAATAAAAGCGAATAAAAAAATTATATAAATAAATTAAATATTACATTATTTTATTGATATTATGATAAATAATGTGGTAAATTTATCTACTCCGCAGGTGCAGAGATTTGTCTTTTCTTATTTCTCTTTATTTTCTCTTAATATTTATCTCTCTCTTTTTAACGTTTTACTTTCCATTTTACATTTCATTGTCACCAGTTTTATTATATCTTTTATTTTAGTGATTTTTTTTACATTTTTATTTAATTAATAATTTTTTACTTTATATCGTTTAATATCTAAGTTTAATTAGAATGTAATTTAATTAAATTAAATTCAATTTTACATTTATATAATTGACAATCATTTTTTTTAAATTGAGCACGGCTTGAAATCCATTAAATGAATAAATTTAAAATAAAATAAAAATAAGTATTACCTAATTTCATTGATCTAATGTGATTCATTTAGATGCATGAAAATATGTAGAAAATTAAATTTGACTTCCGCAATTGGGATGAGGAGGCATGATTGTTGATGATGTTGATGATGATTATAAGTGAAACAAACAGAAATCAAATCAAGATCGCATTGGGAATGCGAGTCAAGTGCTCCTTTTGGATTTGGATAGATTAACAGAGAACAGCAGACGCGTCATGTCTGATTTGAGAATCTAGAGAATCGCCGACTGAATGCCAACTGGACAGCGACGATCATTGAATAATGCTGCACCAGAATCACCATCATTATTAATTCCACTTACAACTGGTGGGGGAATTCTCAGTAACAACAACAAGTCTGTGAAGTTTCGAATGATACAAAAAAAAAATTAATAAAAAAAAGAATGCGCAAAAATCGGCGACAATTGTTGCATGCAAATTAATTTTTGTAGTTTAAGCATAAATAGCTCGGTCTCAGTTCGAGCTGCTCCACACAAGCCATGGATCTGCTCAAGTGTTGCCTTATGCTGCTGGCCACCAGCGCCGCCTACGTGCTGGCCACGCCAACTGCTCTCAGCAAATCCAAGCAAAGCGTCATTTACTTCGAGAAGCCCATAAGTCTGCCAAATCCCGCACAGCTTGTAAGCGCTTTGCCTGCCAAATTCTCGGAGAAAGCCGCACAGGTGAAAAATTCTGCCCATCTACTGAGCTCCCTGCCCGCCAAATTTACCAAATCCAAGCCGGTGTTTGTCGTCAAACCAGTAATTGTCGGCGGTGGTGGTGGTGGTGGAGGAGGTGGTGGCGGCGGAGGCGGAGGTTGGGGTGGTGGTGGAGGAGGTTGGGGTGGAGGACGGGAGGTTGGGGAGGAGCTGGTGGTCATGGTCATGGTCATGGTCATGGACACGGTCACGGACATCACGGCAAAAATAAATTTTTTGGTTAATTTAAGTAGTTTTCATTAGCTGCAGTTGTAACTGATGATTTATGAAATATGTTAATGCATTTGTACAAATATATTAAGTTAAAAATCGAATTATAATAATATTCTAGACCTCTGAAATTACGCTACAAGGAGTTGCTTATGTGTAATGTGAATTAAAATTAAAAAATGAATAAAAGAAAAGATTATTCAACATTCATTGCAAGTATTGTGGAAACCAAGAAAAACTCAATTAAGTAAAACTTTAAAAAGAGATGGGTAAATCTCTCAACCAGCGGTAAAGTATTGTATGTAATATTTTCTTATACATACATGTGTTAAATATATATATGTATCTATGTATAAATATATATATATGTATGATATATACATATTTATATATGCATAAATTTTTTTTTATTATTTTTTTTTGCTGTTTAATTGTTGCAATTTTAAACATTGATTTATTTGCATTAGTCCGCATAATTATATTTTCTTACATGGTCAAAAAGTGGTTTGGACTAAAATTTATGAAAATAAACAATTCGGCTTATATTTTAAATTAATAAACATGAATTTAAAAAATTAAAATGCAGAATGGAATCTATTTCTGTTTTCAGCTGGTATTCGCATTGAAACGTTCTCATTTGCTTCCTAATTATTAATTATTTATTTGTATAGTCTTAATAGCATTTGCAGTTTGTACTTTGGCTTGTTTCAAGCTAAAGTCAGCCTCTCTGGCGGCTAACCCGCTGTTTGGAAAGCGAAAGGATGACAATGGCCAATATATGTAAAATATTTCAATAAGCGCATATCGATGTGCATATATATATATGTATACATTTGTATATAAATAATGAATCGTCCTTGCTGCCTAATGATATCCTTTGTGGGCAAATTGACAGATCCCATTGCCGTTGTAGTTGTGGCAAGCAATTGCATTGAAGATGAAGATGAAGACATTAATTCACAGCAGCAACAAGTGATAAGAGCGCATTCTAATCAACGTGCCACATAATCATAATCATAAACATAATGATACGAGACACAGAGACAGACACACGCATATAATTTATACAGTTGTCTCGGGGGCGCTTTGTAATCAGCAACAGCAGCAAAAGTATTATGCAAAAAGGAGACCGCAACAAGCCAACACCCAACAGCCAGCAACACCCTCTTAGCCAATGTGAAAAAGGGGCTATATAAGCCGCTTGGTCCCAAGATTCGCAAACATTTTGGCACAGTTTGCAGAGCCCAGTGGAGTTTTGTCAACGAGTTAAACCAACAACAGGCACTCACTCAGTCAGTCAGTCAGTCGGACAGTTGAAATCATTGCTTACAAAATGGTGAGTGCGAACCGATCTGTTAAAAACCACATAAATAATTGGCAAGTAAGAGTGCTCTTGACTACAAAATACCCTGTAGCCAGCCCAAAAATATACATTTATTGAGTTTGTGAAAAACTTTTAACTTAAAAAAAAACAGACAAAATCGATCTAAAAACTAACTAAACAAATATTTCTGAATAAAACAATTTCTTACAATTTTAAAGGATTTTTTCGAACTTTAAAATTTAATAAGGGAAAATATCTTTTCTGAAATTGTGAAAATCGTTTGGAAATTTTGTCTCTCGGCTACTATTTAGAGTTTAGCTTCTGTCTGCTTTAGATCTAAAATCTTAAGTTTTCTAAAAATTAAATTATTTAAATCTAAAGTGTTTCCATATATGAAATCTTAAAATCAACTTGTTAAATAATTATAATAATACAAAAAGTGTCAAAAATGCTAATGTGGTATGTATATATAAAAGAAAACTGTAGAAATTTGAGATATTTCTTTATAAAATTTAAAGAAAATATGCCCCTGAAATGAAAAAAAAAACCCTTTTTTTAAGAAATATAATTTCTGATTAACAAGATGAGTTAGCCTTGTCACCAAAAGTAAAATTAATTTGTGATATATAACAAAAATAATATATATTTTAAGTTTGCGGTCTCTTGCTTTGATAAACTTCAAGATATGTGAAAAAACTGGATTTGGAATCAGATTTTTATAGGTTTTTGGAAAAATAAAATAAATTTTATATAGGAGATAACTAGAGATAATTTTCTGTCTCTAGTTGGAATATAGCTATATAAATTTAGCTAATAATACTACATAACCAGTTCTAATGGCTACAGGGTATATTGAAAGAGGCCACGATCGGCACTTGGGCAATCTTTTGGCTTGTTGGCTATTTTTAGATGCAGTTTCAATTACAGCACACAAAACGGGTTTGATTAACTGAATGCCAACAATAACAATCTATAATTGCAATCGAAATGAAATTCCAAATAGAATTCGCTGAGAGACAGCTAAAAATACATGTTTTATTACTACTTATGCAATCAATATGAAAATAGTAAATAAAAATAGTTGATTGGCTAGAGATTGTTGATAATATGCGTTGTTAATTATTTTAATTAAAAATGTATCTCTTCATATTTAGGCAGTCCGTTAAATAACTAACTAAGAATGTGAATTTCTTAAATGGCAACAGTTTAATCTGGTTATCTGGCTATCTGCTCTGGTGCCTTAAGTGGCCATCACGAGTCAGAGTCACGAATTTAGACATTGATATATATATAGATACATATATATATATATATACTGCAGATCATATTGCTGTGACCTTTGCTGGGGTCTATCACTGTCAACTCTCACTCGTCCCTGCGTCTGTCTTTCACTGTGAAAGTGCCTACGAATTTGAGTGTTTTATTTTTGTGGCATGTGTTTGGCATTTCCTTACAATGTGCACGCTAAGTATTTATAATTTGCGTGTGCGCCGCTAATTTAGTCAACTTTTGCACATATGTATGTCTCTCGTCCATATATCTCCAACAAGTACCAGCAATTAACTGTCACACAGACGCCAGCGCTAGCTACCCTTACCCACCCAATAGCCAAAACCACCCCACAGCCCCACCACCCGACCACCCTCTTAGCTACTTAGCTAGCTAATTGCGCATTAAATATAATCGCAATGTTACCGTTACTCGAGTATTTAATCATTCGCAAATGTCTTAAACTAATGCCAAATGCATAAGCAATATGTTGGTACAGTAGTCACTGGCTAACTAGAACTTCCAGTATTTAGTATTGTCGACTTGGCGCCAGCAAAAAAACATATAAAAAGAGGTCACCAAACAAACAATAAACAATTCTTCAGAATGTTTGTATTATTTATTTTCGTATTTTTTAATCCATTTCAATTGAAATTTTTAAATACATTTTTTCTTTTTCATTCCCCGAACAAATTGAGAATGGCTAAATTGGGTATAATGAAGTTGTGCAAAATTAATAGAGTTTAATAGGCAGAAGGAAGCATGTGCGACCCCATTATATATATACTCGTATATATATATTCTTGATCAGAATCAACAGCCAAATCGATTAAGCTAATTCTGTTTGTCTGCCTGTCTGTATGAGCAAGGCGATCTCTGTAAAAAATAGAGACTTCAGTTCTCGTATACCCTGCGCAAATCATGTTTATTTCGATTTATCGATAACTGATCGCGTTTCGCCAATATCGGTACAAATCGATGGCAATGAATTGTATTGTAAAGGTATAGCCTTCAAATTGATTTATAATATACCCAGAAATATTATTGATCACTTGTAAACACTTTATTAAGAGCCCAATTGCTTGCCTTTAATCCGCCAAAAAGAATTACGAAATATCATGTTGAGGCACTTTAATAAAAGATAGTAGTTTTTAATCGATTCTTATCAAATGCGCTCTAAAAATAGTCCATATTTTTTTAAAAAATGTTTAAGAAATTAAAGTTAAAAATTAAAGCAACGAAAATATTATTAGAATTATTTCTATATGTAATAATTTACAGTGTAGAACAGAAATTCAATTTAAATTTAAAATTAAATAATTTAAAGGGTTTCGGAATTCGAATTAAATAAACTTGATCTGTGTTGGGTATATTTATGTATTCAACAAATATGGCTTGAAGTATAAGAATTGTTAACATTTTAAATATGAAACCTGTTGAATTTTCTAGCGATCACTGCGCAAAATAAATATTGTATTTCTATTGCAACATTTGCAACGACTAGCTGTCAATAGTGTGCGTGTGTGTATGTGCGTGTGAATATGTGTGTGAAACAACAACACACGCCCAGACAACACGTCTGACAGTTTGTGAGATTATTGAATCATACTTGTGCCACATTACAAGTTTGTTGACACTCTGACGTATACGTAATGTGATTATATACTATATACAGATAGTTGATATGGAGGTTAGAGAGAGGTGCACACAAAAATATATTATTATATATTATTTACATGTGTTACAAACGGAATATACGAGCCGCAGGCCAAACGGGCAAAGTCGTTCATTGTAATTGTAACCGGGCGTATAATTTATATATATATATATATATGTGTACATAATATGCACATATATAGATATATATATGACTTTGGTTGGGAATTATATACGATCATATTTAAGTCCGGGGGCTGTGGCGTTGCCGCCCCAAAACGGAAATGGCTAATAATTTGCGACGCAGCTGAAAGCGTTTTACATTTTACACGCTTTTTACATGGTACGCGATGTCGTCAACTCGGAGGTGGAGGTGCTCCAAGAACTGTCGGGAAAGACACTTTACACACACAAACACACATTTATATATATATATGTATACATATATACCACACTGTAGATGCAATCAAAGGCATTGTTTTAGCTTGCATACCCTGCTAAAAAAGAAATTACTTTCGCAAAGATAAAAAAATATATAATTATTTATTTTTTAAAGCACAAACACTTTCAGTGCATACTTTTAGGATGTACTACTTATCGATAGGCGATAACTCAATTTCCTTAAGCATGCGTATACAATAGATGGGCGAAAAAAGATCAAATTTGATATGAATTACAGAAAAATTCTACTTATACTTTTACGTCACAAAACAAATAATTTCCAGTGCATACTTGTAGGCTCTATTAGTTATCGATAGCCGATAATCAAATTTCTTTATGTATGGTAAAGTTCTTCATAGTTGAAAATAAATACAAGATTTTAATTGAAATACTAAACTGATTGGCTCAAAAGCAATATATGAAACATATGAGCATGTTGCGCTAAGAGTAGCTGATAGTCGTGCATAGCCAAGATCAAAATGTTCTTTGCTCATTTATGCTCGCGATTCGTTTTATTTTGGTGAGTGCCAGGGAATTACAGTTACATGCTACAATTTCAATTTTAACTTGCGCATAAGTATGTGTGTGAGTGAGTGACTTGAGCAGTGGCGTCGCTGGCAAGGGGTCTGCCTTCGTAAGTGGTTAGTCTTTGTCTGCCTCAAGTTGACATTAGAGACGCAATGCAATGACAAAACATAAGACACACACAATCACACACACCCAATTATCTATAAAAAAAAATGTGGAGGGGGACAGCGCAGTAATGGGGCCGCCTTGTGTGACAGACAGACACTCAAACTCGAGCAACATATAAGTAAATGTGTGTGTGTGTGTGTGTGTGGGTGTATGCCAACGATCGTCCGTGTTCCAGTGCTCAGTTCTCAGTGATCATTTCCCCCAACAGGCGGTCGCAACATTTTGTACATTCATTTTTTGCATTTAGTCTGCTTTCGTTGCTCAGGCGGCTTGACATTTTTCAACAAGAAATATTTAAAAAAAAATACGAAGATTATTCTTTAAGTGTGTTTTTTTTTTTCTTTCTTAATTTTCGACGAGTAGCGTCGCCTTGGCATAAAGCTAGCTATATGTAAATCCGATTTTTTATATATGCCAGCAAAAGTATTTATTCCCGTGCGATGCAGTTCAATTTTTGGGCTATACAAAAATATTAACTATATTTATATATATACATATATTTATATGTGTGTATGTATATATGTATGTGGTGCACAGTCAATTGTGAATTATCAGTGACAACGTGAGAATTGTGCGGCCCTTGTCAGGGGCGACACTTTCGATATACGCAGCGGATCAATTATGTGGAAATATATTTATAAAGATACATACACTTGTTTGTATGTGTATATGTGTTAATAAGTATGTGCCTGTGTCTGTGTGCGTGTCTGTGCTTGTGTGCGTGCGTGCATATGTAAAGCAATTCCGATGCCCTGGCACTGAATGTCACTAAACGCGCCAACCACTCGCATTGCGTGCGAAATACCCCGCAACCATCCACCGCCTCCTCGTCCGTCTTCGTCAGCGCGCCTGTTACGAGTGCCTGTGTGTGTGTGTAAGAGAGAGAGCGATCGTGCGTGATTGTGTGCGTGTGCAGAGCGTAAATCGGCCGCACGTCCAAACAAGCAAACAAGCAGAGAGCGAAAAGAGAGCATCCAACAGCGGAGCAAGAGGAAGATGCAGTGCGAGTGAAACGAAAAAACATCAAAAAAGAAGAAAAATAAGCCAAAAAAAATAAATAAAAAGCACACACAGTATACGAATTTTTTGTGCTCTCGCGTGCAACAATTGAAATAGAGAATACGAAATAGAGAGAGAGTGTGTGAGAGAGAGTGAGAGAGAAGTGCGCAGGGGCAGTGTCTTGTTTGATTTCTTTGGTCAATTGTCATTTTGGTCTGGCCACGCCCACCGATGCCGATGCCTAGGCCGCATCAGCGCAACGCTCACAAAGATCTAACCAAAATCCACACAAAATGGCGATAAACTCAAGCGCCAGAGAAACGCCCAAGCGACAAGTTTAGAAAACAACAAGAAAAAAACAAGATATCAAGCAACAAAAACTAAACCAAAACTCGAACAAAATTTTATGCAACGAAACTTTGCCAAAGGCCCAATAGCAGCAGAGGCGGCCGCAGCAGCAGCAGCCTCAGCAGCAAAGAGCGTCGGCCGATAGGCGATAAGCGCCCAAAACGACTTGTGCGGCCGCAAAAGATACAACAAAAAAACAAAACAAACAGAAAACAAAATAAAAAACAAAGAAAAGGCTCGCATTCAACTCGAAACAAGCGCCTAAGGTAAGCGTGCCTCCAAATCCGATCTTTGATTCGTATTTTTTTTTATTGTTTATGCATATTTGCATATTGTCTGCTCGTCTGTGTTTGTTTACATTTATCACACAGACACAGACACGTACAAACACAGCGCAAGTTCAACTTTGTTGTTTGTTGTTGTTTGCTTTATGGCCCAGTTTGAGGTTATTAACATTGAATTCAATTCGTACCAGCTTCCTTCCAGTCTCCACTCTCCACAAATCATCAAAAATTTAACACTTTTCATTTATTATTATTATTATTGTTGTGAAGAAATTGTTACAAGGTCATTTGTTTGTTGAGCGTGAATATATATATATAAAATATTTACGGTATATGCCCGTGTGTATGTTGTAATACCTACATACCAACATATACATAAATATAGATAGTTATTATATTTAATTTAATTTGAGTCAAACTTTTTTCTCGAGCATCTTTCACACACACAAATAGAAGCACGTACGCACTCACTCACACGCACACGAGAAGTGGTGTTTGCTTCAATTTCCGGTTCCGTTTTGCAAGTAATGCGCGTTTCTGTGTGTGTTTGTGTGTGTGTATAAGTGCGACCGTGTGTGTGTGTGTGAAATGTTTGATTGTATTCAATTTAGAGAGGCATGGGAACATTTTTATTAAAACAATTCAGCTGTGATTTCGAGATTTTTATTTTCAACTGTTTCACGGGAAAGTAGACTTTTTAAAAGCTTTTAAATCTATACACTCACCAAAAAAAATCGACCTGAATTTTTATAAGGAAGTGTAAGTCACCCATTCGTAATTTTAGGGTACATTTTTATAAAAAAAAACACTTCCTATTATTATTTAACTTTTGTGTTTTCAGATTTCACATATATTTTTTAATTCATATAATTTAACATCTAAGCCAAAATAGAGAAAAAGCCTTTCTAATTTATATAAACTTTCTTCGTAAGCTTAGATTTCGATTCTAGAACAAGCTAACTTTTCTTTTTGAGATGATTCACTTACTGTATTTATTTTCCACCCATGTCTCTGGGAACAGTATAAAAATGCAATTGGTTATCTTACGTCATAGCTGCGTTTCTCATGAATCACGACATAAAAAATATAAACAAAATAACAAGTGAATTAAAAATAAATGCAAATTATTTGATGATCATATTGTTTTCGAGTACTAATTGCTTTCGGTTCGCTCATTCACAATAATAATAATAACAATATCGGGAAAAGACCATTCAATAACACTCCCACATGAGGTAGAATATTTGTAGCCCCTTTTTTGGTCTGGTTAACCAGAAATTGACACAGTTACCACAATATTCTGTTAATGCGAGTACGTAAACAGAAATAGTTCCGGAACAACAGTCATCATCGCCTGGAATCGAGAACTTTCAACTGGCACTTTCCAGCGTGGAATCTTTTCTATTGTATTCACACAGAATGTTTCCCTCGCGTTCGATTGAATTGTCATGTGGTTGGCAGGCGAAGGAAAATAATAAAATATTCAATACTGGAACTTATAGTTGAATTGACTAAATGGATACCCTGTAATTTAATCCTGGAATAGAACTGAAAACACTCTGCTCGCCGTCTGTCTCAGCCTGATGGTATGCAGTACTAATTTTAAAGAGATTATAGAAAATAAAGATTTAGGCAGAGTAAGAGAGATAAGATGCGATAATAATAAGATACCAGAAAAAAAAATATATATATATTTGATCATTCTATAAGGACGCTCACATATGCCAAGAGCGAAAGGCCAGGCTAACATTCATTCATGTAACGGTTAAGGAATGTAAAGAGAAATTGCATATTTAACGCAAAGGGACATTAACGGGAAATTTGTTGTGGATTTATTAAATGAACACGTTGAGCATTCCTCTTAACAATTTTAACAGGGTAACAATGGAACTTGCTGGGAACAAAGTAATTGTTGTTCTATGGCAATTATATGTTGCAATTATTGCATTGATTATTACATTGATTACTTGCATCAGAAAAATTCACAAAATACTTGGGGGAAATCCAAAAGCAGCAGCAGCATTCAATTTAACAGAGATCCTCAGAGAGAGCGAGAGCGAGAGAGAGGCAGCAGTTACAGTTACAGTTTATGCCGCTAGCAACAAGTGGCCCGAAGAGAGCAAAACGCACACACATACGAAAAACAAGAGCAAGAGCGCATTTATGGAAGAGAGCATAACAGCAGATTAACAGAACACTCTTCGCTCGGCAACATTTTGCTCAAACAAAAAGCGGCGCAGCATGTGTCTGAACATGTGACAGCATGTGAACAAAATTTGTTGCACAACAACGCATATATTATGGGCGAAACGAAATCAATAATGAAGTCGATTTTGGTATGTTAAGTTAACATGCATGAAATGAATCATAACAGATTGCGATTCAGTCGACACCCAACAGCTAAACAATGTTGCAGAGGTAAGAGGGTCGCTCTCACAGTTTCTTACAAAAATTCAGTATAAAAAACCAAAACCGGATTCCCGAGTGCAACAGTTTCAATCTGAACAGCGTGGCGAGCAGGTCGTTTTCCGAGAGACAACTTATAGCATAAATATCGACATATTTTCTTTCCACACTTCAAAGATCATATAAGCCCGCAGCAACAAGTTGAATCAACAATTAAGGAAAACAGAATAAACAAAATACCATATTAAAAAAAAAAAAAACAAAACGAAACGAAAATCAGTGCAAAACCAAAAGTGCCAATTTAAATTTTTTAAATAAATACACAGATATATTAAATGCAAATATTCAATATTGATTAAATATATCCAGTGCAATCTATCAAAGGTGATTTAAAATACGTAGGAAATTTTCCAACTTTTAATAAATATATTAAATACTCAAAAAAAAAAAATAAATAAATAAACTCGACGCAGCTTTCAATTTTGAAATTACAACAACAAATTTAAATAAGTCGTAAAAACCCGAAAAAAAGGGGTTTTATCCTTTTCGAATTATGTGAATTGTGGAAAAATACCGGGCTAAAAGTTTTATGTTGTTATTGTTGTTTTATAATTGTTATAATTGTTATTATTTTAATTATTGTTGTTGTTGAAAAATGCAAAAATGCGTAACGGGCACTTGAGACCGGAACTGCAACAAACTATTGATTGTGGCATATTCCGAATACCAAATTCAGCTTACCAACTGCCAAAAACGTTACAGTGATCGCTCGCAAATTGAAACTCTGCAATTGATTAATTGCCAATTGAGTTTTATTGGCGTGTACATTTTTGGGTTTAAAAGGCAAATTAAGTATTGCTTAACAATAATTATTTATTATTATTGTCTCTTTTTTGGAGATTCCCCGTGTACATTTTTAATTTTGGAAAGTAATTTAAATTTTTTATTATTATTATGATTTGGTGCTTGAGCGATAATATTTGAAATTTGATTATTTAACATTTCTCGTAATTTTCAGTATTTGTAGTATTAATAAGAATCGAAGAAGAGAATAAGAGTAAATAATATTTTAAAATAAATCAAATTCAATTTCCATTTCAAGTTTTGAACATTTTCCAATTTTGTAAGTGGCCACTGTACCAAAAACCAATTGCTGCTTATCGCGATCGTTTTAATCTCTGCGCGCAGGTCGCACACTGCACTTAAAAAAAAGGGGGACTACCTGCTGTGTGTGTGTGAGAGAGTGGTATGTTTGTGTGTGTGTGTTTCGTTTTTTTTTTTTTGACTCTGCGCCTGCGCCTAAAGCAGCACGGCAGCACTCAGCATCTTGTCAGTGTGTCGTCATCGTCATCGGTCTCATATCGATATCCAAACCATAACCAAATCAATGCGGCAACCGGCACAAATGCTCTCTTTGTCTGCATGTGTGTGTGTGTGCCCTTTGTTGTTGCCTTTTCGCATTATGCTGCCACCTTGCAGCAGCTCACACATACACATCGAGCTACAAACACAGGCCACACAGATGAGCAGCACTTTGAGCCACGTTTTCCAGTGCGCTGTTGTTGTACATTTTTGACATTGTTTCTTTTCTTTTGGCTCTGTTGCCATGAGCAGAGGGTGCGCCAACAACACACAGACACAGAGACAAGAAAACTTTCGTTGATATTTGTATTTTTTTTATTGTTGCTTGCGATGATGTCATAAGTTCTTATTGGTGCGTGGTGGTAGTGAAGAGCAAATGAAAAAGAAATAAATAAAAAATTAATATAAAGGTAAGAAGCAGGCAACCCGCTCATAGGGACAACGACACACGAACGATTGGAATGTTTGGAATTATGGCATTCGATGACTTTGATATTTTTGGCGGTTTCCTAGAAATAGAAACAAAAATGTGTTCGATGACCACCATTGTTGTTATTGTTGCTATTGCCACATACAAATGAGCGCTTGCAACAGGAAATACATTTATATATATATATATATATAACATATGTATATATTTATATGTATATATATATATATAAATATTATGCTTAAGCAAACACAGCACACACATTTGCATTTGTATTTATTTTTTGCACGCAAACACTTCCGACATTTTAAATGCAACGAGCGAAGCGATCAGACCGGCTAAATAAATCAACATCAGCAGCAATAACCAACAATAACAACAACGACAGCAGCAGAAGCAGCAGCAGCGGAGGGAACAGCAGTTAAAGAGCAAAAATCAGCCATGTGCATTCAGCCCAGCCAGCCCTCTCTCCCTCTCCCTCTATATCTCTGTCTCACTCTCTCTCTCTCTCACTCCTTCTCTCATTTACTCTTCGGCGCTCTCTTTGTGAACCGCTGCTGCAGTTTGGCCGTTAAAGCGCTGCATATAAATGATTTTAATCAATGGCGTTGACGTTGATGTCGACGTCACACATACACACACACACACACAACATTAATAATAATAATAATTGACAACGATCGCTTGAGCTGCAAGAAATGTGTGGAGTGTTTGGAATGCGCAATGGAAGGGCAAACAAACGCATTCCACACGCACTCTCAACACGGATTCCATTCAAAGAGAG